TTATAACGTATATATATATACATATTACATATATATAGTACGTATAAACTTATCCGGTCGCCTTTTTACGTGTATATAAACGCGTATGTATAATGATAATACATAGTTGCATCATCCAGCCAGCCACCGCGGATGAAAAAAATTAGTTCTAGAATAACGGAATTCCTCATCGGACGGTGGTACATAATATTGAGGTATCTGTGTATATATTTATGTATATAAGCAGTGAGTGCGCACCGGTTATAGGTTATATTATGTATGTAGAGATGCATTATCGATAACATATGTATATATTATATTATATTATTACACTTGTCGTATATAATATACATATGTGTATATATATGTATCGCAACAATGGTGCGTATATATAAATATACACACATACCAGTGAAATACCTCTTTTGAGACTTCGAGTGGGTCCTTTAGGGCGCACACGCGGTCATTCCAGCGGCGATCGTTTTACATATTATTATATACTGGACAGTTATAGTCGGGCCCTCGGTAGGATTGTTGTGATATAGAGGGGGGAGGGGGGGGGGGGTTGGTTGTTGTAAATCGAAATAGTATACATTCACACAGGCATACATACATATACTAAAATGAAGTATTATCGTACTCTAAAAAGTAAAAACTATATAAATGTATATTGTATATAATATACACGTTGTCGCATTCTTGCAGTGTGCATCGTGTGTGTGACGTGTACATATAATATACTATACGTACAGCAGTGGGTTCACAGGCGAACACAGAGCGGCACAAGGGTTTTATGAAAAATATTGGTTTTCTACATATTACATAATAATGAATAGGTACATGCAGTTCATCTGAACTTGAAAAACCACTAATAAACAATACTCGTTCAAAATTTGTCATCCACCGCAATTCTCCATAAAAAATGTTGCTATGAAATATGAAATCAAAAAAGTAAAAAACCTTACACAATGATAACTATAAGAAAAAGTAAGAAGTATGATTAAAAAATGTATTCAAATAAATTATTGCGTTTAATAAAATCACCCAGAGTCTGTATATTATAATTTATAGTAAATATACGACACGACCGGTTAAGCTCAATGATCTCGAGTGTTTAGCTGCCTGACGTTGTGTTATTATACTTGTATCACCATCATACGTAAATCATACATTATATACATAGAACATTCCACGAGAAAACGAACAAAGATCTCTCAGCAATATATTATACACGCATTATAATAATATAATATATAGGTCTCCCTTCGTCCGCCGCAGTCGGTCGTCACAATAATAATAATAATAATTAGCCGAAAATAATAATAACCACGTTCCTCGACCGGATACGACAGCTAGTGCGTATTTTAACACTATATCGTACGCACTATACACAGAGTATAATAATATTATGCGTGTACTATAATATAATCTCTGTATATACACACGCGGACCATTGTACGAGCATAAAGACGTCGTCGTTGTGGCGACAACTCGGCGATGTTGTCTAGCTACGCGATTTTTTTTCATTGTCATAATTTATATTATACGCCGCACATACTCGGAGATAGATAAAAAATAAAAACGATTTTCGTTCGAGTAGGAAAAAATGTAACAATTTTTATGGTATTTTAATAACGGCTATTACGGAGCGCGCATTTCGATGCTACATAATTGGTCGGTATCCTTGCTGTAGCTTACAGTAGCTGCAGTAGTAGTTATACACTTATGTCTACTATAATAGTGGTCGATCACATAATAACATCAACATAATGTAATCGCGTAAATTACCCAGTCATATTAGTTATAAGTTTTAGTTTTTAGTTATTAATTATTATTATACACGGGTTTACTTTCGTTTTTATTTAGTCGATTATTATGGGATATAATTATTATATTAAAATATTATATGGAAAAACAGTCATTCGTGTACCTACTGTATAAGCGTAATAATCTTGCGTAAAATTTCAAATTTTTTTGAAATTGTTTAATTGCACGTTTATATAATATGTATGTGTGTGACACGAAACGTACTGTTTTTTAAGGGAGAAAAAATTTATTTATTGCTTACCATGCGTGTGGTGGTGGTCTTGAGCATAGTTCTGATTTCGCATTGCAGACAAATCACTACCTCCCATTTGATGCATTCCAATATGTATCCCACCGTCTCTAACCTGCAGCAATGTAAATAAAAAGATAAAGATGTTTTTTTTGTACATGTATGGGTATGGATCAATAAACAATTATGTTCAGTGTCTGCGGCTTCTAAGCTTCTCGGCCGTCACATGTAAATATGTAATGAATAATGATAAATGATTTATTTTTTATCTCACCAAAAATTACAATTTCGTTATATTTATTTATTGATAAACCCCGGACCGCTTAAGGAACTGCAAATGTTCTATAATGTACTGTGATATTGCTAAAATCAAAATAAATTGCCATTTTTAATGTGATCGAAACGTTAATGATTAATAATAGTTGGCTTGGAATTTAAAATGCAGTCTTGAGTATACAAAACTATAATCAGGCACTGTATAACTATACAAGCTGTACTTAAGTACAATAGATATTGCAGGGAATAAAATAGTACTAAATATATAGGTACTGTTATTAACATAATATTATTATACTTCACTAAGCACTGCACCACGATTCGCGGTATGGAGAAAAAGCACGGTACGTTCAAAATTCCAAGCGGTCATTCATCCATAAGAATATTAGCATCGTTTAGCTCGGTTTGAATTCGTGTTAATATCTCTGCGATTAGCGCAAGATCGCTGTCGTGCCACACGTAAATCACCAAATATTCAGGCGGCCATTAACTTAAAGATTCCGCAACGAGTTAAAAAAAAATAAAAATAAAAAACCCGTAATAAATTAATAACATTGTAGGTACCTATAGGCTATTATATTAGGTATGTATATTTGTAATGTTTGTATGTATATAATATATATAATATAATATAAAGTCGTTATAATTATATGGTAGTTGGTCAATGCGTATATATTATAATATTATTACTACTGGACGCCGAGTACGTATTATAATAAGGCCGTCGCTGTGTGTAATGAAATTTTTTCGGAGAATTGTCGACGACCAGTTTCATTATATAGGTACATATTATGGGTGTATATAATATACAGCGTGTATGTGAGACGATTGTGGAGAGGTATAATACACGTCATATACACATTACACATTACACGACGAGCAGGTAAACGACGGTTTTTTCGACGGAATTCGTAATTTTTTGGATTTTGTCTGTTTCCAACGCACACGGAGCTGTGCGCTGCGGGTATGCCCGGTGGCTGATGCATACTGCGCATATGTATTATATTATGTAAGTACGACGCAGTGTGTTGTGTGTATAATATTATGTGGGTACGGAGACGCTGTCTCGTTGTTTAGGGTCCGACGCGTTCATTATAAAAAATATATTATGTTTAGGTGCATTAGCGGGCGTTCGACGAAACTGTGTAGCGCTGCCGAGAGTGCGCGCGTTGGGGGTTTGGTCTCGTTTTCCTGCAGGTAAGATACATCTCCGACCTTGAACCAACGAAAACTATTATATACATTGTGTGTAATTTATTCTCTCTCTCTCTCTATATATATATATATATATATACGTCGAGTGAACTATATAATTAATAAACTAGAATTCATCATGCTGGGGAAAACATTCGGTTCTGACATATTTTCGTCCCGGGTATGTTTATATAGGTTCTTATAATACCGACTTCGTGTATATACTATATATTATACCGAGTACCAACTAAATACGTCTTATGATGGAAGTATGCTGTAGTGGGCATGGAAATAAAAACACGCTGTTGTGGCAATGTTTCTCTGCAGCGTTTCTTATAATATCATATCATTATGATCATTATGTAATATACTAATATACTATACGATATAGGTATATACCTATCATAATATTCATATTGTACCTACGCACTCGCGAATTATAATATTATACTGAACTCGTATCGTTTGACGCCTTCAAACACAAATACCATACACACACAGATACTTATTTTACGTATATATTTTTTTATAGTACGTAAACGTCTAAATATTTATACATTGCGCTTATTATCTGTACAAATAAAATTCATAAAATGTTTGTCTATTTCTTTGTCCTCTAGTATCACAACTACTGGAACGTAGTTATTAAAAGTTACATGAATAGATTCCTAGAGACTCAGGGAGTATGCGTACTTTAATTTTTCAACCCCTATATGTTGTTGTAGGGTGGGTGGCTTACAGTCTCACGAATTAATTGAGTTTTAGATCATGAAAATAGAATATTTTGATGTTCATTTAATTAGTTACCACATAGATAATTTTACTATTATAATTAGTAACAAATTAAGACACATAAAAATGTTTAAAAATATATTAAAATTACAAAGCTTAAAATCAAATATCATGAACAAAATTACAATGATTACTTTTATGATTTGCTTTCTGAATTCTGGAGGTATATTTGACAGTACCTAAACACATATGGAACAATCTTAATGATATAGGATTTACGTCGGCTTTTAAGTATTTGTTGAATATGTTTCCAGTTTTTTGTTTATAGATAAATCAAAAATAAGCCTATAATTTTTAAGAAGTGGATAATCATAAAACCAAACATTGTGTTTATAATGTATATTTTTCAACTGAAGCAAAACGGATAACTATTGGTAGATAGATTAATTTTAAGCCGAACGAATTCAGCTAGAATTATGCATAGGTCTTATGTACACATATTTAATATTACCATCATAATTTAATAATATGTAATATAAGTACTTGAATAGTCATATAGTTATGATGATGTCATGCTACAAACCTCTGTACAAGAGATTTTATAATATTTTTGTTTGACTAATAGGCAATAACTATTGATATGTACACTGTACCTATACACTGTACGAAGTACAACGAAAACTTACACATTTTTCTTTCCCGCTGTACCGGAGTCGGCGGCGTGTCGATTACGCTCGTGTAATAATGTATGCATGTTAATCAGTTGCAGATATTATGTGGGCGCGCGAAATGTAGGCGTCGGGCGAGCTAGCATGCGGAGCGCCAGCACAGTGAGCGGCCCTCTACTGTCTGTTTCAACGCCTGCCAGCCAACAAAACCGGTTAGCTGCCGTCCACCTGCTCACTGGCCAATTATTGTATTTCACTGTCGAGGTGAGTGTAAAATGACGACTACGGCTAGGTACGACTATAAGACGGCGGAGAAGAAGAAAAAGAAGAAAAAAGATTAAATTCGAGAGAGACGGCGTTGCTAGGGCGAAAGAGAGAGAGAGAGAGAGAGAGAGAGAGGAGAAAATATTTTTATTTTTCGATACATTGTTTACCGGGAAAATATTATGTCCGCGAATTTCAACTGTGATGATACCACCTATATAAATACATCATATATATATATATATATATATATTTATATGTCTCATGCGAGTTATGAGGTCGCCATAGTACATACCGTAATGCCGCCATATCGTAAAATATAATATTATATATAGAAACCTATACGCGCGTATAACACTGAATATAACAATATGTGTTGTTGTGGTACACGTGTTATAACTGGACCACTGGAAACCGGCATGGAATTCGGGTACATCCACGTTCGAATTTATAATATTATATTGTCAGAGTGCGTGAGCATAAAACAAAAAAGCACATTTTTCTAGATTATATTATTATACGACCGACCTACATAGTATAAAATAATATACTATTGTATAATAATATTATTATATTTGGTCACAGTTGAGATTTATTTTGGGTTGCTCAAAACAAATTTTAATAAATCGATCTTATCGTAGTATGTAATAAAAAAATCGTTTGTGTGTGTGTGTGTGTGTGACTGTGTGAGATATATATCGGGTGATCCTTAACGTAAGCTATTCATTATTTGGTTTTTTTTTTCATAATTTTAAGTCGTTAAGAAAACATTTTCTAAAAAATGCATTTCAGAATTATTTTTATTTTTTCAGTTACAACATGCGTTTTAAATTTATTATTAGTTACTTAATTATAAGTTATAACTAGTAAACTACTTTTCCAAAATTTGATTTTTATAGAATAAATAAAGAGATTTGTACACTCCAAATAATCACTTTAAAGAATAAAAAAATGTGTGTCATCATATAAAAAGTAAAACATAAGAAAAAAAAATGTAATTGACTTAAAATTATTTAAAAGAAATATTTTCATAACAATTATTAGTGTTTCCTGTTATAATGATTGTTTTGAAGGTACGTTGAATGGATCACCCCGTGCATTTATAGAAAATGAGAAATTATTATAGATTTTGATTATAGAATATACTGTTTTCGGATTATGTATATTTATAAACCTCGCGTGAACTTACTGAGTGTAATTTTTGTTTCTAGGGTAAATCTCGGGTAAAAGAAGTCTTCTCACAGCTGACGACTTACATGATTGCTCAAGGAATGCAAGACGTCGAACTGTTCGCACTGGCATTTATTCTAGGTGAGTAAAAGATTGCACTATAACGACGTTTGTAAACTAGAATCTACCTATAGTTTATAGAGATATAATATTACAATGCAATTAAAGTTAACATAATAAATTGTTCATCATTTTTATAAAGTATATTTTAATTTAACGCTTATATAATTGTATATATGTACTGTATACTAAAATATAATAATCGAATTCGTATTATAAATTCTCTGTTTCTATGACGAGCATCGCTTAATGAATGTAATGATTTATAATATATAATATAAGATATAACCTACAACTGCGAATTGCCACCATAATTAAGACTGTAAATGCGATCATTGCACATTATATTTACCGGCATGTATGATTTATGCATGTGTCGTGTGTATATGCGGTATATATATAATACATCATATATGTATAAGATTCGAGCAGTTTCGTAAACATAGATACCATTTAAATAAGTAATAATAATACAAAACTGAAAGGTAAAGATTGGTAATTACTAATTTATACATGCTTATAATAAGATGAATTTTACATTGCCGTCGCTTGTATATGATTTCGATACATGTATTATGATATATGCTAATCGAAGAGACGATCGATATTAAAATAAAATAATTTTTTTACATTCATGCCCACAGAACATAATTGTTCAACTACTCTACAGTCACGATTATATTTTCAATTAATTTTATTATTTCACAAATTCACCGTTTATACAATTATGCTATAATATGTACAAATCCGTTATGAATGCCAACGCGTTTTATGCGTTCCTATACCTACCTGTGTGTATAATACACATATATTTTGATTGTATATAACTGTTAAAATTAATACATATTACACAAATAAATTATGCACGAGAATGTTATTTATCGTTTTAAGTATTATATTTGAAAAAAAATCGGTTAATAATAACTGTTTATTTTACAAACAAAAATTAATTAAATTATATATTGTGACGTGTTTGTAATACAAAATTATAAGCTCGATTAACGGATGATCATTTCTTGCGAAATATTTTAAAATGACAATATTAAGAGGATGTTTGCGCACCATTTGTTTTCTCTCTCTGACCCACGTGTAGCATAGCAAATGTATGTTTAGCAGTACCAACCGTTTGTTATAACTTAATATTAGAGTGAGTTCACCTATTGTACAACTTTAAGTTAAGAACATTATCTGCATCCCTGCGTTGCTTATTTTATGATATTTTATTTATATGCAAATTATGACGTGTATTACAATTTAAAAATACTTATACATTGTATAATAATTAAAATATTGTAAAAAACCAAGGTAGGAACACAGGTTATGTCCTTACCCTAAAGTCGTATAATAAGTGAATTCACTCAAATATTAAAGTAGCAACACAGGGTTGGTTTTGTTGAACATCAATTTGCTGCGTTGCTCGTGGGTCAGAAGATAAAATAAAAAAGTGCTCTGACATACCCTAGGCATAGTAAAGGAATGCCGGTCGTTGTTTTTTTTTATTATTAGAAACTACTACTACTAATAATAATGTATAAAAAAACAATATGTCAAGGCGCGTCGTATAGACAATTCAAGCGCATGGCTGCCGCATAGAAGTTTAATTATTATAAATTATAATGTGTATTGTTTTGTTTTAGACGAAGAATATTTTTTCGCTGACCCTGAAAGTAAACTGTCTAAGTATTCGCCAAAAAGTTGGAAATCGTCTTCGACATATGTAAGTATTTTAAAATTTTTTTTTGTTTGCAAATTTATCAAAAGTAATTTATTCATTCCAACTTCCAACTTAACCTTGCTATCGCTCTAGAGTTAACGAAGGAAACTGTAGACCGTCGTGTTAACTGATTTCCTGCGATACGGTTGAAATTAATTAAAAACATTATAATTTGGGGCTGCTATAATATACCAAACATATTTATAGTTGTGCAATAACGTTAATAATTATTTAAAATTTTGTTATTCTATACAACACGGATTCGTATAGTTAACAACTTGGTTGTTAGTTATAAAGGGGGGGGGGGAGAGGGGAACTTAAAAGTGGGATTGTATATTTTTTTAATATTAATTTGTTGTTCCGCTCGAGCTGCCGGTTGGAATACATACACATACGTATAATTATGAGTACAACCCGCGCGAGAAGGGAAATTTATTATGCAACTGTCTCAATTTATTCCGGACGACATATATATAGATATATATACGTGCTCGTACACAATAATTGGTTTTTAAGTTGTCAAAATGATATGTTGTTTTGATACGTACAACCACAAATATGTATGTATACATTATATATATGTATAGTGTATACTCGTATCTGTATATATATTATACATAGTTTTTCGTCCCAATCCAAGGTCACGTTAGATTATCGTGTTCCTTCCAGCTAAAGACATACACACACATATATATATATATATATATATACTTGTGTAAGATTGCAAGAAAGTATTACCTAATGCCAAACGAAAACGGGTTTAATCCCTTCTTTGTCTTCCCCGTTTGTTATTTACATATATTTATAATACACACTCGTGTATTTGATTACAAGTCAACATCGGTATTTTAATTTTGTTTTTTTGTTTTATCACGCCTCAGGGTCTCGATCAAAACGGCCAACCTCTACTCCAGTTGCATTTACGCGTCAAGTTTTACGTCGACACTACTAAATCTCTACGGTAATTACAACGTATACACACATACATAATATACATTTATAAATATAGAGCGGATAGTTATATTATATACAATTTTAATTCGATTTAAGTTCGTGATTTTTTTTTATAATATAGCCGCCGAGAATATATGATATGTTTGTGTGTGCACATATATTTTATTACATTATACACATTAATACTTATTCAAGTCGCCGGACAAAAATGTTTGAATAAATATTAAACGAGTCATTAAGTTATTTAAAAAGTCATATTATTCGACTGGTAGCACGAAGCGTTTGCGTGCGTACAGTTTAATGCATTCGTGGAATTTATGTATAGTTAGTTACTCGAGCGCTTATATTATATACATTTTATACTTGTATAACATATATGTATATTGTATACACCTATATACATTATACATATACCCATAGTATATATATAAATAAATACCACGTGATCGACAGTAAATTATGCGTTAAAATAATTACAAAAATATTTACGACTCACTAGCCGTCACTCCTGGTAGAATTTTTTCCGACGTCAATTCGGTACGGCGGCGATGGGTGCGGAGAAGAGAAGATCTTACCAGATGCCTACAACGATGTGTTCGCCGCCCAAGAAACAAAAATACTAATGATTATTTCGATATACTGTTGTGCGTAACACAGGCTTAAGGTTTTTAAACCGTTCAGAGATCCTCATAATGTGATGTTTATAATATAGGTTATAGGAGCTCGGATTTAATCCTCATCGGTCATCACGTTAACTAGACGATATTTCGATACAAATAATTTGCCATGTCGTCGGGCGTGATTTCAAAGAACGGATTAAAAGCGTTATGTCGGATTAAAAATGATATCTAAACTTAAGTACATGTTTAGGTACATATACTAAATGATATACGCTACCTAATTACTGTGCATTTGTATGACGTCCAGCGTCCTCTATAGAAAGTTTGATGGCTACCCTACATTTTGTGAAGTGCAAATCGGCAATCGCGCATATTTGTAAATTTTCTATAGGTACTAACTGAACGATAATCGCGACCATCCAGCAGGGTCCCCGCGGTATTCCGGTATATTATCGGTGCTATGTGACGGGCGAGGTCGAACCCCGCATTTATTTTAGTTCGACTGCTTTCGGAATAAAAATACTGAAGTAGGAGTAATGTACTTTTTAGTGGGCAAAGTTGTGATACACAATAAAGACGTTTTTACATACCCATGTCCACGTGACAATATATTTTCATTGATTTCGTCATCGCTATTCCCCATAGACCTTATAATAGTATATAAAGTCATGGATGCTAATCCCTGTACGACATAATCATATAATTATAGTATACAACAAAATATAATAATCTCCATAAAGATCACAGAATTCATTAAATCAGCATGCACAAAGTCATTAAAATAAATCATTAATAGATCATTTCGTCAAAGAGTTAAAACCCACTAATAAGTGATCAATATTGACTTCTATCCTCTCGCACTTTCCTACCCAAACCCCTAACAGACGATTAAAAAGATACTGCTATCCTATAAGGAATTACTAATTAGTACTCTAGTCTCGCCCAATCGACCTGTTTGGTGGGGCACTGCTGGACGGTCGCCCATCTTTCACACCGATACTGTAAATTCGTCGTCACCAAAATTACTTATTGACAATAAGTTATTGTTATTTTTCGGATAAACTCGTATTGATAGGAATTATTTTTTATAAGCAAAAAATTGCGTATTATTCATAATAATCATACGCGCACGCGTATAAATGTGTCGAATTGTTGTCACATTATTATACTAAATCAGACACGTTTGCTTTGCAGCGATGACGTCACCCGGCAACACTATTACCTTCAGCTGCGCAAAAACGTCGCGGAAAGAGGCGGCTCCACGGAAGACGACCAGAATGTACTGTCGCTGGTGGCACTCGGCCTGCAGGCGGACCTCGGCGATCACACGACCGACACGGACATATCGTCCGAGTTGCTCGAACAGTATCTGCCATCGAAGGTATTGACTCGTATTAATATGCCTGCATCGTGTACCTGCACTCGCGGTACTTGCGTTACCTATGTATCATATACTGCCGCTTAAGTGTATCATTGGTTTGGTTTGGACAATTTCCCGACAGAATCATATTGGGCTTGGGAATTCATATTATAGGATATGTGCATGCTGCAGTATATATTGGCCCGGATAAGACCTAAACGTTGCCCGTAGGCTATATGAAAAATGTGCAGATGACTCTATTTTAGTAATCCTCGATGAAAATATTTTTTAAATATATATTTTGGTAATTATTTTTGTTTATACTCTAAGAACGTGCAAGCATGCTCATCCCAATTTTTTCTTTTAATTATGAATTTATTCAAATTCGAATGAGTAGTAACTTTAAGTACCGACTAAAGATAATAAGTACATGGTAATAGGTTTGGAATATACGGGAGTTATGATGATTTGATGTGCTATAGTTATTACTCATCAATATTAACGTATCAAGAATACCAAAAAATATTAAAGAATAAGAATTTGAATAAATAAATTATTGAAGGGAAAAATTAGGATGCGCATGCTTATAGTGAATCACATTTTATATGATATTATAACTTACCTGTAGGTTTTTTTAAATCTAATTACAAAATCATTTAGACGCCACGCGTATACACGATTCCGAGCTTTATAATAATAATAATCATAGATATATGTGATTAATAAAATCTGCAAAGGTATCTTATAGGATATTTCGAGGTATATACTGCAGATATCTTCTTATCGGTCAATCGGCGTTTAACTCATCACTCATGTTTGTTACAGGTGTACAAAGTTAACGAGCAAAAGGTGAAACAGACGTTGTGCACTTTGCACAAGGGCCATAAAGGATTGTCCAAGACTTGTGCGCAGACCATGTTTCTTCAGGAAGCTGGTGTGGTGCACAAATCTCACCTATACCGGTTGCGGTTGAACAAGTCGCAGCCGAAACAAACGCACGGAAGCTCGCTATCCATATGCAACAGCGTGTTTTTGTCTATTTCTACCCCCGGCGTACAGATGTTCCACGTGAGTTCCATTGCAAAATGCTAACATTAATACCCTTTTTTTCCCGTTTAAAAAACAAGGAACAATTCCCACCTGTTTACCACAGTAGTGACATTAATATATTATGGTGCATTTTATTGGTACCTACCCCACGTCATATATGCGTTAATGGGTTAAAATTATTTAGAGGGTGAAGGGGCTAAGAACTTACCATAGTTATGATTTCTAAATATATAATAATATTACAAATTTCTTTGGTTTTTTTTGTGGATATAATGTATATTATATATAAATAATTCATAAAATATCGAATTCGCCTAAGGCATATTTATGTTTAAGTATAATAAGTAATAACCAATTTCCCCATCGGATGGCCATAACTTCAAACACTAGAAAAGTAGCAGTCCTATCGTAACCTCGATTTTCATTAGCAGTGGGATTAATACATGTTTAAATTTATTTTTAGAGTAGGTATATTCTTCAGCGAGTACTCACATGGTTCACACTAACTGTTCGTCGAAAATAAGGAATTTTTTCAGTTAAAATATTTATTTGAATAGTAGTTTTTATTATAAATCTTTACTTGCTTAAGTACCATACATTTTTATGCACAAGATTCGTTTTTAGTACGACTTTTTTGAGCGGGGGCCATTCTCAATTTCCGCCTATGACCTACGTGATGTGCGTTATAATAATAATCTATCCGACAAACTTTTTTTAACAGGAAAGCTTATCGCAAGCGCTCACTGGTTTATTCTTGTGGAACACCATCGTCAAGCTGTGTTTTGACGTGAGTATAATAATAATTAAAATTATAAGTCACTTAAATATAGTCTAGTCAGTTGCGTAATTGTAAGGAGGCACTCCCACCCCCAAATATGCCAACAGTATAAAATGTATACTTTAAGATTTAATCTTTGAATATTCTATAATGAAGAAATAATGCAATACGTTTAACACTCATTTTTAAGATTAAAATAATTTTACCTTTTATTATTGCATATAAGTAGGGACATAACATTTTATTTGACATTTCTCCTGATGCGTAATATGTTGACGTATAATATTGTTGTCAACGCTATCGCATTATCTGGGTTACAGAAATAACTCAATAATATTATTTCATGAATTATTACGATTACAAGATTATAATTACCTTATTTTTTCAAACAATTTATATAATGTAGCTCCTTTTTTAATGAACTCTTTTGTACTTAAATACTTGATATTATTTAACGATATGAGTACGAAGCCATAAAATGAATTTTAAGAATTATGTAAAAACAAATAATTAGGTTATGGTTTCAATTTTGGCGAATAATTTATTCCCCCCTCTTAGTGTTTTACCCAGTTACGCCACTGTATCTAGTTTTATATTACCATACACTAGCTACACTATGTACAATAATAATAATATAGTCAATAATAACGATATATTATAAATTATAATAGTAGGTTGTAGGTACATAATATTATGTGTGACTCTTAATTGATTTTTAATGAAATGATATTCACACTGCAGCGTAAAAAATTCGAACTGAGGCCATCGAACACTGATCGATTGGTATACTACACAAATTCGGACGAGAAGAGCAAGAGGCTGTTGGCGCTGTGTCGAGACACTCATCAATTTTGCATGACAGTACACCCGAGGCTTTTGGACACGCTTTTGAACAACAACACATCTGGTGAGTGCACACGACTAATCGGCAAAAATAATAAAAATCAAAAACGCAAAAATGTCACCGTCTCTACACGTTAATGATTACCATCCACTAATTATTTATTTTCGTACGGTTCAGATAAGAACGCTTTCGACGGGCTAAAATGGACCAACGAGAAGAAATCAAAATCGAAGAAGGACGATGACGCCATCGAAAAGAAAAAATGCGAGAACGGCGGTTGCTCCGATTCCAGTATTTCGACGGCCGACCCGAAGACTTCTATTCCCAAGGACAAGGTATACATATTATATAATACTTTAATAGGTACATGAACGTTGTAAGTCCTATCACTGTTTTACAATATTAAAATTCCTTTTGAAATTACATATCTACTAGTTTTGAATAAAGAAACTTATAGAATTTTAAAAATGATTAACTCACTAGTGTTAACTTAAAGACATGTAGGTATATAACTACTATAAAAGCATGATTTTAACTTACGTATTATTTTTAAAGTCCACTGGAAATAATTAAGTCGATTAAATTAATTATATACAACAAGATGAGTTATGGTGTTAATAAAAATCAACTAACTGGTCAAGTTAAAAAGTTTGGTTTTCATTAAATTTGTTGATCTATCTGACTGGCTCACTTTTGCTCACAATATGATGTTTTTGCCGCAGGTACCAAATGGGAGCATATCGTCCAGCGTGGAACTGGGCTACAGTCACACGGCGCAGAACTCAGCCATGTCCGAGCTGGATTATTCTGTGCAGTCAGCGCAGGACAGTAGCGACGCATACTTGATGTACAGGCATCCGAGGGCCAGGGCGGCGTACGTAGACAACAGCAACCAATCGGCGAACACTAGCAGCGGCGTGTACACGTGCGCCAGCTACAGTACAGCGTCAAAGGACATGGCGTCCGCGTCGTACACCACCGAAAACTGTAGTTGCAGTGTAGACTGCAACCACGGCGGTGGCAGTTACAAAGGTACGACGGCCGCGGCCGCCATGCAGAAGTCGTCCATGATGGTACAGCAACCGGACGCTGACTCAGCGTACAGCGCGTCACTGCCGCCGGACACGGTGGCGGCGTCGTCCACGTCGGCGGACGAGGAAGGGCGTCCGGTGGGCCACGGGCAGCAGGCCGCAGCGGTGGACGACTGCGACGGTGGCTGTAGCGGCGCCGATGAGCTATACGACTTGTCAGCCGCGGCCACCAGCGACAGTTCGTATTGCGTCGGCGGCGCCACGACCGCCACGTCCGCCTCCGACGTAGCTCTGTCGTCGGCGTCATCGTCCAAATGTGGTGAAAATGGTTGCAGTAATCGGTGCGCGCTGGATGGTTACGCGGACGCGAGTGGTGCGGCGACTGGCGGCCGCAGCCGCAGCGGTTCAGTGGTCAGCAACTCGGGCAGTTTCCGCGGCGACGGCAGCGATCCGTCCGAGGGCGGGCGCGGCGCGCTCCTGTCCGCCGTCGAGCTGTCCGATCTGATCGTCGGCCGCAAGTCGTTGCAGACGCCCCGCAAAGGCTTCTATCCGTCCCGGCCAACCACCAGCTCTACGCTAGACTCAGACTCGGATTATGTGACGTTGCCCCCACCGATGAACTTCGTTACTGGTGCCCCGTCCTTGTCTAACCTATCATTAGCCAACTTCGACTGCGGCACTGGCACTGTGGCCCCGCACTGGGACGTCCGCCGGTCGCTCGACCTGCTGTCCAATGTGGTCAAGTTCTGCGGCGGCCATCATCATCACCATCACCATCACCAGTGCGTGCAGGTCAACAGCAACAATTACCTAGACGTGCACAAGAGTGGCGCTGCGTTTTACCATCATATCTACCCGGCTGCCGCCTCTGTCGCCTCAGTAGCACCACCGTTGCTGCACGCTCGACAACCGCCGCCGCCTCCACCTCCACCACGGCCCAAGCGGTTTGACTTGCAGCTGGAACAGTACAAACAGCAGCTCCGATCCGATGTCGACTTCGTTGTGTACCCGCTCCAAGACCCGGCGGTCAGCCGCCAAGAGTACGTGGACGCCAAGCTGACCCGCGGCCGTCGGCACCAATACCACAGGTACTACGGCCGAGACCCGCCGTCGTACCAGGCCAAAGCACACCTCTACCGAAGCACACCAAATGTTGCGGTCGCAGTCTCACCACCCCCACCACCACCGTCCTCGTCGTCTGCGTCGTCGTCGTCGCTGTCTCACCACCACCATCACCACCATCACCTGCTTGGTCAGCAGCAGCAACTGCAGCTGCAGCTACAGCAACAGCAACAGCCGCCGCCGCTGCCTCCGTTGCCGCCGCACTTGAAATACGCTTCCAACCAAAATTTGCTGTTCCCGGCCACTGTGGCCGCATCCGCCGACTACGCCGCGCAACACCATCACCACCGCCGTCACAGGCTGCAACCGTTGCCGCTGCCGGTCCGGACGTACTCTCACGATGACTTGTTGGCCGCCTCTTCTTCAGCACCGGCCGTGCCCCCGAAAGTACAGCTATTCCATCGACGACCGCCGCCACCGCCACCACCTGTGACCGGACTCCAGAAGCCCGCAGCTGTTATCCACCCTCGTCGCCCTGCGGTCGTGGACGCCGCAACCACCACCAACGGCGCCACCACCACCACCACCAATGACGCCACAACTCCGACGGGGTCCACGACGGTATTGGACATCATGTCATTGCGGGAGAAGAGCCGCAACCTGGACTTGCCACTCATATCGGCCCTGTGCAACGACCAGACGCTGCTTAAGCAGACTAACGCTCTGGTCACCGAAAACAAGGCCACGCAAACGGTGGCCACCAGTTCGTCGTCCCTGTCCGACGCTACGGCCATCGCGTCGTCTTTGTACAGACCACTGCCGCCGCTGTCTTTGTCTTCGTACCATCCACCGCCACCGCGTCCTTCGTCTGCGTATCAACCACCGGCGCAGCCTTCGTCTGCCGAACAGACGCAGCCGTCGCAGGGGGGTGTCGTGTCCACCAACAAGCCAAATTGCACGAGGTGCACTAACGGTACGTCGTCATATTCGTCGCCACCGCCGCCGAGTTTTATGTCGGTTTCGGCGTCACCTGCTGTTGTACCAGCCGCCGCCGTTAAGACGGCCAAATCAAAAACCAACCACGTCAAAACCAACACAAATATTATTTAGTGATTACCTATAGTTTAAAAACAGACAAAACTTCCATACGATTACGAAATATTTTTTTATTATATATTTATACATGCGAGGAGAGGGCGTCCGAGTAAGACGGTTTTTCTTTTTTAAGGGAAAAGGAACCAAAAATCCATTGTCGGAAGAAAGGGGGGGGAGATTTCCGTAGACATTGTCGTTTAGCCTAAGTCTGTCGGTCACTCGAAAAATTATATTGGAGTTCGACGAAAACGGTCTTTGTTCGACTAACGCACGTGTTGTGGTTTTATTTTTTATTTTTGTAATAAATTGGGAACGTGGGTTATCAACAAGTTTCCAAACCAGAATGACATTATAAGCTATATTCTATTGGCTATATAAGCTATATTTCCAGCAATCATCTTATTATATTCATCGACTATAGAGGTCAGTCAAATATTCAAATGTGTAACCCGGTTACTTTGGTTTTTACTCGGACACCCTCCGCGCACGCAATTTAGTATTGTTACCTTATGATATTTATTTATTTGTGCCAATTTTATTTTTATACTTGTGTATACTATACGAATGGTAAAATTATTTTTTTTTTAACACTTGTTACACAATTCGCATTGATAATGCAAATTGTAAGCATTTAATATATATTTTTTATACATTATGTATATAATGAAAAACGATCCGTGCAGGACTTGTACAAATTCGGGGCATAAGTCACTCGATATATAGTTTTTATGGTTAATATGCTCCGGCCTGTTTGAAGAATGGTATACTCAAAATTAGGTTTACCATAACATATGTTTTGGCCAAGTGTCAAGCTTTTTCTTTTTGTAACGGTCTTTCACACATTTCGTTGTTTTTAATGTACCGACCGTGTAATCATTTTACTGATAATAAGCCATTTTATTGTATTTATTAACCATGGCCGATAGACTGTTATTTTAGCACCGCCATAAATTTTAAGAGCGTTCGATTGTTAGTATTTAAGATAATTATATGTGTCAATTTTGATTTAACTCTAGACTTGATGTAATGTGCCAAAAAATGATTGGTCCGTAACTGTATTATTCAGTTAATCTAATGAATAGAAAACAATTTAAACAATTATGTCTACAGCCTCAATTGCCTATTCTTTTGTTATAGGACCTATTATATTATATATTATTAATTTTATAATATTTATATGTACCACATATTCGTGCTTACTTGTGTTAATTAGTTACCTAAAAAGTGCCTGATCATTTTTTTTACATTTTTGTATGTTATTATTAAATACTGTCAAAATACTATTTTTTTTTTTTGTACATTGTAAAAGTTACTTTTAAATTTTTAGTTATTTAAAAATCAGTACAAAATATTGCACAGTATTATTTTGTTTTTTTCTTTTTATAAAATGTTTAGATCTAAATTAAAATTGTATATTTACGTATCTTTGATTTGAATAAATATTATCTATTGTAACATGTTTTTCATAATGAACTTTCAGTTCAAGATAATGTACACACCACACTAAACCTATTTGCACAAAAAATTTACATACAAATGTCAGAATAAGAGTGAACCGCTTTATCAATCGTAGACGACCGGCCCTCTATAGCAGAGGGATGTGTTTAAGAGTGGAGATCAGCAGATGTGGTGAGTATTTGTCTGCTGAGCGTTTGACTCCTATTCTGATTAGATTATAGAAACATTTCTATTTAATAAAAGATTACATTTTGGTTTAAAATGTTGATTTTAATTGATTAGATACATCAATTTTGTTATTTTAATGATGATTATTCAGTAAAAATTGTATTTAATTTAACTTATTCATCGAGGGAATTGAGAGGTATGTGAAAAAACAATACAAAATATTATCCTCAAGTATAATGTATAAAATATATATGTGTGTAATTTAATTTAAAAAGCACACATATGGTTATAGAATACAATATATTATATAGTATACAAAAAGTTTGGAAATGTCCAATACAAACAAATAGTATAAAACATTTTCAAACTACATTTCATGTAATAACTGTATATTATATAATCTTCATACAAAATAAGATAAGTATGGAAAAAAAATTCAAAATAATAATTCAGTAATAATTAGGCTAATGTTCCCATTGGATCCCAAATGGGAAGTACTTGAGGTTCTTGTTGAAACACAGACAACACCTCTTCAGATAAAAGACTCTTGTCTACAACCACTTCAAACACGTATTCTTTAAACCAATCTGTGGTCATCATCAAGTAACCCTTGTCACCACGTTCTTCACCCCAGGAGTTTTCAACACGCCACTTGGTTGCATTACCATTCTAAACAGATGTAAAAAATCATTGGTTTAGGATTATTTCTAAATATTTCATATTATTTACTCACATCTACATTGACCCCAGTTAGTACCATCGCGTGTGTCATGGCAGATTCACCATATAACATACGTTGAGCTTTAGTCATCGGGATTGATACATCAGTTCCAAATACTAGCTGGTAATCATGACTAAAATTATAAATACTCAAATAAATTATTTGTTTCCAAATAAATACGTGTATAATAAAGATGATTTTAAGAAACTTACATTTTTAAATCCTCCAATCCAAGCTTATCAGAAAATCTTTTGCTCACTTGACATCCATACCAAACTGGTTCACCTTTATTAACAATCGATTCTTGAGCTGCCTTGATTAATACTTCAATGGGCTGGTTGTTATAAAGAACTTTGCGTCCACCAGCCATGTTATTTAACATGTCCAATGTGTACAGTTTACCGTACCGGTTGTTTGGCCGTGGATCCGAAATCAAACACACCTAAATAATAATAAAGTTTAATTGAATACATAATATACTACATATTATTAGGTAATCTAAGCACATACCTTTTCTACAACATCAAACACAGGACGGACATGTGTCAAATAGAAATCCAACGGAGTGATAGGTCCAACAGTGTTGAACACTTTAGATTTGTCATAGTATTGCCATTCAAATGTAGCTGGTGGTATACCCATACAAATACCAACAATTCTATAAATAACCTCCATTTGCTCTTCGATTTTGGTTTTAATCTCATTGTCTGTTGCATTATCGCTGACAAGTTTGTGCAAAATTATGGCAAATTCTCGGAGCTTAAAATGTAAAAATGTATTCAATATAAAACAGCTACAAGTTGTTAATCATGAGTTATGACATATTACCTTGCTGTTCAGTATAACATTAACAGTATTGCTTGTTTCGCAACTAAATGACTCTGGGAAGTTCTTCTTTGGCATCAACCCATACTTGGTTATGATGTTTACTAACATATCCCACTGACCTCCATCTTCAATAGGTTTCTTTAGTCAACAAAAATAGTTTTTAATTTTCAATCACATAACTATGTTATCTAATTAGCAATTATACTTACAGTGAGTAAACAAGCAGTAGTTCTATCATCAACAGTTTCACCACGTTTAGCGGTTTGAACAATTGCGTTTAAAAAATAATTGCTCCTTTCAATCTAAAAATATAATATATAAATTATTATAGACTTAAAACATTATATTAACAGTTACATTCCTCTATAAATTAGGAAATTAAAATAGCTTATAAAAATGATAATCACTAATCAGTATAATTCAGTTATAAATGCACTTAATTACATTTATATTTTTAGAAACTCCTTCTCTTGCCATGTAATTTTTGATTTTGCCTTATACTTCAGGAAATCACCAATGAAATAAGTACAAAGACTATACAAGTTTATTTTCTAGACCAAAATAAAAAAGGGGAAGATTCATTTTTTCCACATTGACGAGAAAATAATTGTATAACCAATTATCCCTACATTTCAATCAGAATATTTAAGGTTAAAATAATGAACTTGTGTGTAAGTACCTAATATACAGATTTAAAGATCTATATCTAACATCATACATTTTTAAATTCTACTTCAATACATTTGATTTTAGTAATGTAAATTAAATCAAGCTACTAGAGTAAATAATTTATTTTATTTTATTGAAAGAAAATACAGCTTACACAAATATACTTTATCGTCTAAATTAATGTGTTTAATGTCACATTTATTGTTATATCTCTGTAGTAATAACAACAGTCATTTAGAATTAACGTAGAACTGTTAGTTATGAAATAGTTTTATATCCTCCAACAAAATATTTTATTTTTAAATACCTAATGGGAAAAGTGAACAAGTGAATAAATATATAATATATTTAGTTGCCGTACAATATATGAGCTCATATACATTTATACTCTCAAATAATACACAACAACTGCATGGAAATTCATGTAGTTTTGAAAATCTGAACAGCGTTATGGTTTATTATACCCAAACCTTCATTGTGTTTGGGATAAATTTTGAACCCCCCAAAAAAAAACCAGTCCTATTGACAGACGTACAATACAAATCACAAATGAGGAACAGGTGTGTAAAAGGGACCACCTATTGTTAACATTATCCAACAGGCCAAGGTCATACAAGTATATTATATTTTTCAGGCACAAAGAATATCTGAAATTTTTATACAAACCATACCTTGTCCCAAAAAAATATATAAGCTTGGCTGAACTCAAATTCTTCTAAGTTGAATTGTTTGATGAATGGAACTCTGATCACATTTAAACATGCAAATATCCAACAACGACCTGAACTTCTTTGGTTAGTTACTGGTTTGCCTTCAGATTCAATCTAGACAATATACATACATTTAAAGGTTATTTGGATCTGAAGTCAGAAATCATTCAAACCTTGTGCGTGTAATAATGATGGCATTCCTGTACTCTATTTCTTGATGTGCTAACTTCTGTTGGGCTGACGCGAGAACAGGCATTTTGGGCCAACACATTTTTGGCATCATTGTAAAAAGCGTCACGGAATTTTAATATATGGTTGGGATTGATGATGGCTAAAATATAAAAACCTTATATTCCAGTGAGTGTATACAACAAAACGTTGTTTTAAAAAAAATTTAAAATAAGAATAATAGCTCATACAAAAAGTTGATACAATATAATATAAATATTTCACAGGAAAGCTATCAATTAATACTAGTTTAATTAGGCGTAGTCATAAATCAAATACATCAGTCTGATGGATGCCAGGTAATTAATTATTCATTAAGTAAATTCATTTTTTTCATACAATTTCATCACACTTGGTAGTTAATATAATTGAATCTGTATAGCTATATTTTATAATAGCCAATAAGCTATTAAACTATGAAGAAAACAAATTATAAAGAATTCTATAACATAATTCATTGAGAAGACAATATGTATGAGACGTATAGTGTTCACCTTGAACCCTTATAAATATAACAAAACAGAATTTATGCGCAGCTAATCCAACAATTTATCAAAAGGATGGTATTTTTTGAAACTATCAACAAAGACGATGAACATTGTCATTCAGTGCATGTCTCTTATTGGTTCACTGTATTCCATTGGACACAGTAACGGTAAATTAGTTTTATTATTAAAGTATTCATCTATTGCTCAATTGCATACCATTATAAAAGAAATTTATATTTGCTCATATTTTTATATTGTCTATGCTATAAAATGGGGAAGAAATATGTTATATCATCAGTATATTATATCAATTCAGGAATTTATAAGATAATAATAATAATAAAACTAGATTCAATTAATCTGTGCAAGACAGTAATGACACTATATTTTCCACTACGAGATTATTAATTTAGATTATTTGCTATAGTTAATTTCATAGAAGTATTGTAATAAGATGATGTGAAAAAATCATAATGATGGTAGTTACTAGAACGGTGGATAGTCCAATGCAGCGATCGCAGAAATAGCCGTAGTCTCGGATAACAGAAAATACCAATAATATTATCATTTTATCACATTAAAATATATGTAGGTGATTTGCCTTATATTAAATATGAAGAATATTTTAACAGGTGTCAATGAAAATTATCTGTATTTATAGAATTGGCAGTAATATTATGGATGATTATTGAGTTTAAGGTTAATCTAAGTGACTAAGCAACATTAAGATCAGTATTTATTTTAATAGCTAGGTGTTTGTAGCAAATCAAGTTTATATCAAGTCAAATAATTTAAGGATAAGAAATTAAAATATAATATTTCTGTAGGTAATTTATATGTTAGTTGATATACCTATACATTTTTTTAATATTGATAAAATATAGATTTTTTTATAGAGTTAAATAATTTTTAGGCATTTAATTAGATAAAAATAATTAGAACTCAGCTGATTGAACAGACTAGTGACATATCTAGAGGATCTTTTAAAATAAATTAACAACAAACTATTTTCAACAATAATCAATGAGCCATATAATTTATTTTAAAATACAGGAAATAAAAATTTCTATGGATGTAAAAAATCATCAAATATAATATCAGAATTGATACAACTCACATAATTGTACATGTCTGAATAGTGTTAGTATTAATATTTTTAGTAATATTATTCATTAAAAATAAATATTATCTGTTAAAATTACAGCAGTGTTATACTTTGCTCATACTTTGCTCAACATCAATAATGCATTATAAAAAAAGTTGCTTATCAAATAGATACGATAATATTGTTGAGTAGGCAAAAGTAAATAAAACAAGATTCAGTTATATCATAATATTATTATTGAAAAAAAATGATTATTAAAAAGGAGTTATTTAGGTAGTACAAGGTTGTCTACCTACAGGTTAAAATACTGTTATCTGCCCACTCTTAAATCCGTTATAGTTATAGTTTAGACTGCTCAAGTATTAGAATCCAGAAAATGTTTATAAACAAAATGATATGAATAAATATGTACAAAAACTGTTGTAGACATTTTTATTTGCATTTAGGTTGAAATAATGAACTTTTGATCCTGTCGAGCAACAATAGATAGCTGATTACTTTGAAATATATTAATTTACCTAGACAACACAGAACTCTGGTTAACTCAATCGGGTAGCATAACTGACAGAGAAAAACTTCAGAGCACTAAAAAAGAGGCAACAACCAATGATATAAATATTTTAAAAAAAGATAGCTACACCCGACAGCAACTCTTTGACTGTCAAATAGTTTAATTCTAACTTTTGTACGATTTTACCATCGACGGCGACGAGGAAATTGTGAAACTGGGAAAAAAGTCAGGAAAAAGGCATCGCCCTAGGGATCCAAAAAAAGTTCACCTATGTCACTTGGATTTGCCGATAGGTCGGGAATAAAAAAAAATGAGACGAATCATCGAAAACCACAGACTCGATATTGCGTGGGTGGTCCACGAGTCTTACATGTGGCCTCGGAGGAAGGAAAACCCTTTTCAAAAACCGACGAACTCGACGACGGCGATGGCCGACAGACATAATATTGTTTCGACTACATAATTATGGCGTTATACTTACACGAGAAGGTTTTTGCCATTTTTCCGGAACAGTTGACGCAGCACCGTTCGAGATCGTGTATCGGAAATTGCGACTGGGATTCCCTGGTCAAGCGTTATCGATGAACTCGAGTCGGCGGCGATGGCGGCGATGGCTGCAATAGTAGTAGTCACGGACTAGAGTGCACGACCGTGGAGCGCAAGCAAGTAAGTGTGTAATTGTAGTGTACTAGGTATATAGTGCGCACTACGGTACGAAGCAGTGTATATATATACCGTGGACGAACGCGCGTGCGCGAATAGTAATAATATCGTCGTCGACGGCCGCGAGGAGGGGTTGGGAACAAACAAAACGGTAAACCGGGAATTCGTATAAAAACAAAAACAAATAACGAGACTCGTACAAGGCGGAATGGGACGCGACGAAAACGAGTAAACGACAAATGGTGAAAATTCAAAATATCGTGTAAACGATGAAATATTGTGTTATTGCCGTGAGTCCGCGTACGGCGGGCGTGCGCGTGCGCGTGTGGCACACTACCGATGCGGCGGCGGCAGAGGGTCGTTGGCCCGATCGGCGGTGGCGGGCGGGTGGGCGGGGGTCGTGACGTTTACCGTTTGGCGGCGACCTCGTGGAGGCGAAAATGACGTGTCGTTCTGGTTCATTTTTTTTCTTCCTCCCTTTGTAACATCTCCCAGACATTTTTCCCCGCCAATTTTCAAATCTGAAAAACGCGCGAGCCGTACACTAAGTGACCATTCCACGATACATTCTACAAATATATTATTAGTAACTCGTAAAAAGAAGAATTAATTTTGATGATCTCTCATAAAGTAAAAAAATTCTTAAAATTCACAGTTTTTTGGTTGGTGAATTAACATTTAACGCTGTTATGGAAACAATCTGTATATCTTTGGTAATCGGTATTTATTTCAATATACCCATCATAAACACAAAATCTTTTTTTATTATCAAATGATACCTACTATATAATATTATATTATATAATACATAATATGAGAATTGAAAATGTATAATATATTACTGTTGTAATTAAAAATTGTAATAGGCCCTAAAAGGTAATAGGATACCTCCATGTATCATCGTACATTTAGATTTAAGAAAGTATTGAATAGGAAAACTTAAAAAAAATTAAAGAAGTAAGTTTATCCTAAATTTTAAACACAAAGTTCATAATATTCAAAAGATTTAAAAACGGTATATTATCATGTGTATTATAAGAAGAGCCTAAGAGACTTGTGTTGTCTCCTTTTTACAAGCATACAGCTAGCAAATTGTATGTTTGCGATATCATAACACATTTTACTATGTTTTTTTTTTTATTAGAGTAAATTGACTTATTTTAAAACAAGAAGGTAAGATTATTATCTAGGGCAGAGGTATTCAAACTATAACTCGCTGCTCTAAGGGGTGAAAACACAATGGAGCCATGAGGTGAAAAGTTTGAATACGTTTGAATGTCTGATCTAGGTAGGGGATTTTTGAGGCTTTTATTGATATATTAATTTTGAAGCAAGTTATAATAATTTTAAAATTGTGACGTTCTCGTATTTCTTAATAGTTATTACTAGGCCTGAGGACTTCTAGTACTCAAAAACCTCAAAATATGTATTCACATATGAGTTTATAAAACAAAAAATATGCATTTAAAATATGCTCTAAAAATGTAACCTATATAAAATATGGAACCTAAATTAAAATATTTATGAGAAAAAAAAATAGAAAAAATATAATTTTAATAAATTGATACAAATTTGAAAATTAAGTGCACGTAAATCAAGTGTGCACTTGATAAATGTTTGCGATAAATTATAACGGACTTATGGAGTTCACTTCTAAGTTCTTACATGCGTCGCGATGTTATCTGCCAGATAATGAACAACTGATAGTTTTAGTACCTATTAAATAAATTATTATTATACGGACGGAAAATAGTATTTTTATACAGATTTTTATGTTATATTATATTTAATATCAAAATGTTCAAAATTTGTACCTTTATAATATGCTATTAATTTGTTGAATATAAATTCTCAAATATGTATTCATATGCAATAAAGTCAAAATATAAGAAAATCTGTGAAATAAAATGTTTAATAATATAACTTATTTCTTGTATGATGAAACATATTTATACATCACTCACGTTTCTACACGACCTTTCTAGACAAACTGACAAACATGAAAAAACTAGAAGTCCCCAGCCCTACTGACGACTTATTACATATTTTCATGGTTTTAGTGTCATACCATAATAAATTGTTCGGGTACACACATCATTTTATTTTGTGTAGGTTTACGACTTAGAAATATGCTGAGGGATGTAAATTGGACGGGAAATGTATATATATATATATATAAAAATGCTAAAAATTACCAAAAATAGAAGAAAAATGTAAGTGAATGCTTGTTATTTATTAGGTGTGAACGTGTGGTAGGTATTAAGTTAGAAAATAAATACTGTTAGTATTAAGATTATTCATAAATTCATTTACAGGAAATGGAATTGGCACTGTTCATAATGTTATAGCCATTAGGACATTAGGTATGGAGTATGTAGGTATTTGGCACCCTAAGTCATAATAATTGAACAACAGAAAATGTATTACATTTTAACTGTAAACAGTTGTTCATAATTATTAATAATTGAGAGTAATATAAAATATATAAAATAATATACTCTTAAATCAAATGTCCCGTGCCTTGAACTTTTTGATTGTTGCAAATAAATTGATTACATCATTATAATTTAATTTGTTGATTAAATCTGCCTCAATTGTTATTTGTTAAAATATTGGAAGATAGTTTAAACTTTCTTTAGTTATTTTGGATCATACATATTATGATGATTTAACTATTTTTAGAACTGGAGCCTAAAAATGATCTCTCTGTTTAACAATTTGATATGGGACTGGTGACAGCTGTGAGGAATATCAGAATGTGAGGATATCAGCGAACTAAATGTTTTATCTCTCTGACCCACTCGCAACATTGCAAACATGCGTTCAGTCTTTAGTAAAACTAACCGTGTATGTTGGCCGTTGGGTTTAGTAGTTTATAGACTCTAAGTATTAGAGTGAATTTATTGACCCTATGTTATCAACCTTGAAGACTTAAGTTAAAAATATCTGTATTATTTGTAGTACAAGCTTTATTTATTTTACTTCTTACCTTAATATTAAAGTGAGATATCAGCATTTTTAAATTGTAATAATTTGTATACGCGTGCATAAAAGTTGAAATATTCTAATTGACCGACACAGATAATGTTTATTCTTATCTTTAAGTTTGATAATAATTTGTCAATTCGTTCAAATTTTAAAGCAAACATCACAAGGTTGGTAGAACACATTTTACTATTTTAGTTATTGTGTCAGGGAATATGTCATTAGACAATGACAATAAAAATACCTAGATACTAAAATTCATTAGAAAATGTTTAAGCGAGATTTCTTCTGCAGTAGTTTTGCATCGAGATGTCTCGATTGTTAGGATAATAATCGATTGTAAAAACGATTTAGTGATTCGGTGTGCACATTATTGCTTTGGCTTAATAGTTACTTAGACAGCCCATTTCTGTTATGCTAAGTGTGTAGCTCACATTTTTTTTAAACGTAGGTATTTCATATAAATATAATTGACTTATTATTAGTATTAATCACAAAACACTAAAGCCTATGCACATAACTGTGTCTGCTGCCGCACGTAGAGCACTGCACAGCTTTCCCGGTGCTCCTACTACTTCCTAAGTCCGTATCTCAAAACATAAAAATATAGGCGTATAACAACATTTTTAAAAAAATGGCACCCTTAAAATCTGGAAGCCTAGCGTCCACACTCTCTTTTCACTGCCACTCACTCCCTAAATATGCCATTGCTGGCAGCGCCGCAACTACATAATAATTTGCTCGTGTGCGATATTTTTATTTGGGCCCCTTCCTAAATTAATTTTCTGTAAGTATTAAAATCTATAAGTGCCAACATTTTTAGGTTTTGTATATACCTACGTATATATATATATTTTGGTTCATCCGTTTTATTCAATCCGTTTCAAAAGGAACAATAAGAATAAGTGATGGTATAGCGTATAGAATAAGCTAAAATTAATAAAAAGGCAGATTAAACAGATTTCAGAGGGATTCCAGTGGAGGTCCTATGACATGGGTTAACATATATAATATATATATATAACTAAATACCTATAAATGTTGTGTATTATACTACACTACATATTTAAGAAGTACCCACTGAAATATGTATTTTATATTTTTTTTCTCATTGCGTTTTCGTTTTTCAGAACCACTCAAATGTTTCTTTTTAAACATACCTAGGTGACAGTTTAAAAATTAGCTTAATTCGCATTTAGTATTCATACAATATCCAAAAAGATAAAAAAATTACAAAATAGAAAAATAAAATCGATTCTCACATCGTTAGGTACTACTTATTTGGAGACGACTGATTACAGTAGAATCACAGAATATAATAAAGAAGAACGTACATGGCATAGACCAACGAATTTATTTAATTAACCTTTAACACTAAAGAGTAAGTTACCTGATGAATGATGATACTCGGAGCGTCAGTAACTAGAAAGTCAATATTAAGCTATGTACATAAATACATAATAACTAAAAGGTAGGTAATAGGTATCATCATTAAAATTACAAAATATATTTTATGTTTATACCAATACCAGCAACTCCTGGTCGTCGACTAGTCGTATCAGTAGTGTTGCTTCGATATTTTTCTTGGTATAACACGACATTTTAATAGTTTATAAATGAACACTAATAAGTAGTAATAACATTACTTTTATGGCACGTCGTCAACCGTCGTTGATTTCCGCTATCAGCATGTTGTTCTTCCGACAATTTGACAAACAACGACCCATAGACGAGATAAAAATAGATCTTACGGAAAAATTGATAGTACTTAAAAAGCTAGAACCGTTGACACTTGAATACTTGATACCCATTTTTTTCTAACATAGTACATACGTGATTCTAGTTAGTACCATTGATTTTATGATATACCTACTAAAACCTACCATCCTATTTTAACATACTTATTACTTAATCTAATATTAGTAGGCATACCAACAACTACACTAATGTTTCAACTTAAAAAAAAATGTATTGTGAATAATTAAGTTTTGAATTTTAAGACAATTTTAGTGTATGCTCCAGGTTGTGCCCGGGGGCCCCAAATGTATGTAAGCCTTGGGGCCCGTGTGCGCCTCACACTCTGCACACCCGGTTTTTGCGGCACTGATTGCTGGACATTGTTAGTTATTAAAAACGAATAGTAGTAATTATTATAGGCTCGTGGTTTGTAACTGCTATGTTGAAGGATTTGCACCCATTAAATGTTTTCTTAAATTGTGTTTAATTTATAATACCATCATAGGTTGGAAAATTAAACTCGGAATAATAAGCATGTTGCGGCTTTAGTTTAAGGAAAAATCCCTCGGAAACGCGCCGGATAGCTGGCGTGTCGCATCCGTGAAACCGAAATCCGAGCGTTGCCGCGCCCATGCCTAAGTACGAGATTTACAGTTAGACGTGTGTGCGTCGAGTATGCGTGACGGCATGTGCACGACGAAAACCGGTACAACGAGTGTACAAGAACAAGCGTCGGTCGCGATGCGGCCCGTCCGCAATGTGCTCGGCTCTCGTCGCTCTCGAGAAAGCGACATTTCAAACGTGAAGTCGCAATGCCGCCGCGTCGAACGAAATCAACATAAACATTGTAACATTATTATGCGAGCAACACATAAATATGCAATGCATGTTTAATTGCCTATCCACGACGCCGTGCGATTCTGAGTGCATCCATTCTTGTCTTATTACAGTCAAGGAACTTGGTAGTTATGTGCCCATGTGCAACAGATATTACCATACCGCTGAACTAAATACATGGAAAGCATATTTTGTATACTCATCATACATTTTATGTTAAATGTGAATTAATTCTCTGTTACACAAATCCTTACGCTTCCGCCAAGAAAGATGTTGTACCTTGGAAGATTTTTAATCTACCGAACGGATAAACTATAAAAAAAATTTAACGTATAGATGTATGAATAAAAGTTTCACACATTTTTTAATATTATAGGTTGTTATTTACAAATCATAAACTGATACTAGTTTAAAGTTTAAAATATTTTTATTACGAGCATTTAGAAAAAACTAGTTAGTATTCAAATAAACGATTTATTCCAAAAAAATATTGACATTTGAAAAAAACTGTGAAAAATAAACTACTTGACTGAGAAAATATTTTTACAAACAACATTTTTCTAAAAATAAAAAATGTTGTACCATAAATGTAGGGCAAGTGTATATAATATATTTAATGTGAAAACAATATTTATATATTTTTATACATCTATTTCATTTGTCAGTTTTTTCTATTACACTCTGTATAATAATATTATAAATGCAAAAGTAGCTATGTTTGACTTTTACTACAATTTCACTGTTAAGCTGCGGAACCAATATTTATGATATTTAGTATGAAGATAGCTTGAACCATGATAAAAAAACACTGTCTTGCTCAGGTATTACTTTTTTTAAATCAACTCCTAAGGGACAAGGGTGAGACTAAATAACCACTCTAATTTCATTGAAAGTCATTTCTATGTATATTAATTTAAAATTTGGAGAGCATGTTGATGTTATACTGTGGGAATCATTTAAATAGTGTTTCAGAAATGCGATTCCATACCATAATGTTTGTCAAATTTACTTGAAACTTGGTATTGATGCTCTTCGAGATTACTTATAAAACATGTATTTCGGAATTTTCCAAGATTAAAATCTTAAGGATGTGAAAGCAGGTGCCTAAGTTTTAGTTTTTTTTATAAATAATTGAATAGTTGTTTCTTTATTTCTCTTTATTTTTCTTATCATCATCACTCATCATAACAGAACTACTTATATGCCAGCGAAGCCTCAGGAAATAGCTAAAATGTATTATATTAGATTGAATTGTAAATTGTAATAAAATCAATGTTCCATTTTTTCACTCGACATAGTAAACGTATAAAGTTGTTTGTGCCTTGTTGTTGTTACAGCCTACCCGAATACACCACCATGATATACACAGTGAAAAAATCCTATACCAAATGTGTAGGCATCGACTGTACTTAAAATTTCATCACAATTAATTCACATCTGTACATCTCCACATCTGTAAGGGTGGTTATAATACCCACATAATATTTGTCAACAGAATAAATTAATCAGTCAAAAGACCTTAGTCCAGGAGGATGAGGAATTGGTGAGGATGATATATGGATGGATACGGTTTGCATCAACAATAGAGAACAACAAGTAACAAGAAAATACTGTGCCACTAAAGTAACGGTACCTAATAGCAGTTAGTGCTGTCGCTAGTAACAACTGGTGATTAAGATTTTTATAAGATTCTATTTGGTCTGTGTGTTTTAAAAAATAATAATGATATTGCCGTTACAGATGTTAAAGTATCAAAAGACTTCAGTTCAAATACTACAATATCAATAATTAAATTTTCATAAAAACATGAAAGATAATAATATAATAATATGCTTCCCTTTTTATAAATCAGTTAAGAATTAGAGTTAAAGTAAACATGTATAATTATGTGGTTTGAGTTGATGTACATTCATAGAGAAGGCAAAGCGCTACCAACATATTGAATATTATATACCAAAAGAAACAATTGAGTACAATGGGCACCACCTTTAGTCTCATTAGAGATTACAAACAGTTACAATTTCATTACAAGTGGGCAACACTATTGCATAACCGTAAAACTAATAATTTTAATGGACAGCAATCACTTATTAGGTTAATGATTGTATTTATCTATTAGGTATACTGCAAAAGTAACATTTTGATAAGCACTAAATTAAACTTATTATTAATAGTAAGAATTCACTTCCCTTAGACCTTAATGTTATTGTGCTATAAATACAACTGTAACCTTTTTATTTTTCAATTTTAGTTAGAATTAAATAAAAACAATATTTTAATAAAAATTACAAGTTTACACAATTTCTTTGATATTTTATCATAAAAATCACAAAACACAACATTTGATTTCATTTGAAATGTTAATATTGACATTTATTTATTTTTCATACAAAATATACTATAATATTAACACAAATAATAATCTTTTATTTTATATTTTTAAATTAATATACATTTTCCAACTATTTTAGCAATGTTAAATTTAATTTTTAATTGAAACAACAATCATATTTTTTACAACAGTTATAATTTATAAATTATACAATTACAATTTTGCCTCCACATTTTTCAGTCGTTAGCGAGCACAATAATATAATATTTATATAATAATAATAATAATAATAATAATAATAGAGAAATACTTTGTCGAAAGATGGTATCTAGTTTTGTGGTCAATATTAGTCGCTAACCTACGCTAACATTGACTCTTTTCAAAGAATATCAGCTTTCAACCTTTATGCATTTTAAGTAATAATAATTATAAACAAAACACAATACAAAATAATAATAAAATATAAATACAGGAACTTTTACAAATTCAATTATTTCTACAAAAACATTTTTGTTAATGTGTTTGAAATTTGCTATTGGCAAGAGTCATGAAGAGGCTTTAATATGTTTATCAAATTATTTTACATTTTGTAATAAACATATGCTTATGATTAAACTATTTTTACAACATTATTACATTTTTAAACATTGTTTTGGAAAAATCAAATTAACTGTTATCAAGTTATGTTAGCAAAATCAAACAAAAAAGTTGAAAATTTTTTTTTACATACATGTCAACTTAAACATTTGTCGTTAGACTTAGAAATTTTAATTAATTAATACATATCGAATATAATATATTAGATAAATAAAGTTTAAATGTAATCAATATGTTTGTACAATTAAAAAATAATGGTATTCAAAGCAAGTATAAAAAAACAAATCTGTTAAAAAATACATTAAAACACACACAAAAGAGTAAAATTGAACATTCAAGTGTTGAATTAAAATGCGCGTTATCACTATGTTTAAAACAAAAATTGAAAAATATTCAATATAAATAATATGGTCCTAGAATAAACGGAAATACATCAAAGACGCGTAAATTGTAAAATAAAATAATTAAGGATCCATTGCGACAATAGAGGTTTGTTTTTGGATGTTATTATTGCTTAATGTATATATTTTGACTACTGATTAAAAAGGGACCATAAATAACATCAACAAGACAATATATAATAATATATAGACAACAGGGGTTAATGAGAACAAACACATATTATACATATACGCTCATTATGTATACAACTAAATTAACTTTTTTTTTTAAATATTGATTGACAACGACAGTGACAAAATCGATATTGATTCATAGAAACATAATATTATCAACATAAATACATAATATGGAATAAAAAAAATACAATATAATATATACTATCTTAGTTACACAACACGTCCAATTCCGAAAACGAGCAGCCTCATATTATATAATTTCAACAATGTGTGCGCCACACATCGTCAAATGGGTACATACATGTCATTGATTTTTCGATCACTGATCCCCGAGGGGTTAATAATATATGCGTTATTCAATTATGATTTAATATGATGTATAAGAATAAAAACTTTGGGAGGAGGTATTCCCTATGTCGTACTCTTTTTTAAACGAAATGAGAAACACTATGCACAATCGCACCACAACAGCGGCGACGACACACAGTAACGATAAATATAGGATCACGTACTTAAATTCATTCTTTTTAAATTATTTTTATAACTAGGGAGGGAAGGGCAAAAAAAAAATAAAAACGAAACGACCATAGCAGCCGCGAATAGTATGGAAAAACAAAACCAAAATACAACGCCTTATGATGAGTGAACGAAAATGAGAGAGATAAAAAAACATTAGCATGTTATACGAACAAAATATAAGTTATAACATAATATAAACATATCATCATGGAAGTACAGAGGATTCGTTCGAGTGGCACGCGGGGGGGGGACGGACCTTAGACTTCGGTGCCGTCTTCGCCTTCGTCTTCGAACAACGGGCCGCCCTTCATTTTGGGCTTCGGCGGAGGTTTGGGTGGCACCTTGCGCTTGACGCTCGTCTGGCTGGCCGGCTTGAGCACGCCTGACTCGGGCGTGCCGACCCGGCTCGGCGCCCAGCTGCTCCGGTTCCTTGCGTCCATCTCCACCAGTGGGGAGTAGTTTGGCGGCAGAGCGTTGTGCTGAGGCAGGCCGGACACCTGCGACGGCGACGTCTTGTCCGGCGATCTCGGTGCCGGCGACGGTACTCTGCGGACGTCCTGCGCGTCGTCGGCGGCGAATCTGGGACGGTGTACGCCGCCTCCGCCGTGCAGCTTGGTCTTGTGCGGCAGCGTCTGGCTGTACTGCGGTTTGGGCCTGTGTACGGCTGCCGAGTCGGCCACCGCCTTGGTCAGCGATAGCACTGAACTGCCGTCAGCCGTGGTCCGCGGGCCCAGGTTGTCGTACACTGGTTCGCATAGCCGGCCCACTCCCAGCGGGTCGTCCACATGGCCGGCGGTCGGCGTGGACGCGGATGCTCCGCCGACGCCGTTGCTGCTGGCCCAGCTGGGCACACGCGGCCGCCGCGGTATGGTCACGTAACCGGCGGGCGGCTGGGCGGGACGTGAGCTGAACGGCGACTGGGACCGGTTGTACGGTAGCGTTCCTGAGTAGATGGGACTGTGCAGCGGTGACTGGAACGACGGGACCGTGGACACTACGCTGCCGGCTGGCGAACTGTGGCCGCCACCCCCGCCGCTTCCCCGGGGAAACGCCAACAGGTCCGGTGGGTGCGTGCCCTTACGGTAAGGACGGCCGTTGCCCACGCCGTTGCTTATGCCACTGTTGTCGATGATGTTGGCCAGCTCATCGCCTGACTCGCAGTAAAATTGTTCGTCAGCATCGCCTATGTACAGAATATAACGGCATACATTAGTATTAATATTATTACCGCGACATTTAAGTATAATATGAAATTCTGTTTCATCGAGTCGGAAACACCAAAACATATATTAAGATAAATAACATTTTTACATTTATTTCTATCCTACTTAATAATTATATTATGCAGATCAAATACGTGTGCTCTAAATCGGAATTAATGCGCAAACAATAATACAATTACTATTATAGTATGAGACGTCAGCCCGCGATTTTTCATTCCGTTGAAATTTAAACGAAACAGCCAAGCGAAACGAACCGGTGTACGTACGGAAACCAGGCAGACAAAATAAAAAATCTAAGACTAAAGTCTAAAATTGCGCATACAATAAATAAATAATTACGTTTGGTGGCTGCCTCGGGTTCATGCAGTCGAAGGCGACGTTCCCAAGTTCCTAGTTTAATTTTATGCGCATACAAATCCTTAAATATTATATTATAACGTTCTACATTCTTCTATTTACTAAATACAAACTCTCCAACATTACTGCCTTAAAGGACTTGAATAACTCATGATCTTATAAAGCTGCGAGTGTTTAGATTTTTAGTCGGAGGAATTAAATTATATATATATGTATATATCTGTAAATTATTTAAAGGGATGTTGTGATTTAAATTTTAGTTTGATAGTATATTCTTGACATTTTTTAATTTGGTCGGGCTATATGCGTGTGATTTATATTCTCCGAAATCCCGACAATTCCTGTCAAAATACGATTAGTTCATCTTTAATAAGCTCCAAGTGTATAACAAGTTTCCAACAGTATTTTATTCAAATATCATTTGCAATCTGTTAAAATGCAATTACAGGCTTGATTTACTTATATCTAGTGCAGTGTACAATATGAGTTATCCTCTGCCGCCCTTCCCATGAAAATAATTATTAAGCATTAAACATTAAGTAAACAACAATGTATCCAATACGTCAAAGTTGGGATGTATAATTTTAAAATCAACTACATAGGCCATAGACAACAATAGGGAATAGGAATAAAAATCTTAGAAAATAATTCAATATATAATACAAAGTATTAAATTACGAAACACCGTTTAACAAATAATTTGATAGTAATGCGAGAACTTCAAATGTTATTGGGTTGTGTTAATTAATTAATTTTTTCTATATGTAACTTATCGATTGTTTCAAAATTATATATAATATGCGTATTTTCTGCGATGGACTAACTATAAAAGTAGGTAATAATTTTATTTTATCTTTTTATTGATATTTAAATATGATATATTCATTCAATCATATAAGTACCCGCCTATATACCTAATTGTAATACAATATTAATAATGTTGAACCCCTTTTTAAAAACATTTATTCAATAACTTTCATTGGAAAATGCTGTGTAAATAATATTGTATTCCTGGAATTTTTTTGCCCCGTATTTCCTTTAACAATCAAAATGTTCCAACGATGCGACGACCGCAATGGAATAGTTGCGTCAATATAGTTTTAATCGACGATTATGATATTATACGATTTCGGAGAAAAAACGCAACCAATCAAATATTTGATTATGGTAGAGTATTTGTCCCCTGTACTGCCTATGATAAAAAATAAATAAATAACGGAGGCCCATTTGAATATTGCATTGTTGTTGTATACGTATAGTATTATCTTGATTCGAGTATAATATAATAACGTAAAGTAGGTATATGGGATTTTAAAATTCCGATTTTTTGTAGTCGCTTTATGAGAGTGAAATCATTCATTTCAAATCTCGTGTGAAGTCGTACAAAGATAATTTCTATTCAAAATCACTCCTACACATGACGAGAAGCCTATTATATTATCATATGCACGTAAAAAAAAACGGACGAAACGGCGGGAGAAGAGGGGAACAATAAATAATACAACAAATCTATATACGCACACACGACACGACACGATAGAAGTGTGTACCACGTAAACAACTAGCGTCGAGGGCGGGTGGTCCCCGGTGACATTTTCGATAAGAAAGAGACGGGTTCGTTGGAAAACTACGAAATATAAATTCGTGCGTTTTTGAATAATAACATCGGAGTAGGTATATAATAATAATAATCATAATAATAGTCAAAATGTAAGCCACCGATCGACCGAATGCAGTGGAAAAAATGAAAAATAAAAAACACCCGAGACCGGGTTTGCGTGGAATTCGGAGAGAAACTACCCATATACGTGCGGTGTAAAATACAAAGCGACACGCTACTGCTGTGTTCGAGCGGGGCTGCTCATTCGTACAATAATATAAGCTTTTCTACGAATCGGTGGGCACGTCTCTGTTGGGGATGGTAAGGAATTCAAAATCGATCTCGGAAGGAGAGCGGCGGCGGGAAGACGGTACAATATAATACAGGTAATATTATTATTGTGATTTACGGACTTCGACAACGATTATTATATTGTAGTATTATTGTACCATATGTACCCAATATCACGCTACGGCTTACTGCAGGAGAACGCTGCAGAGATCCACAGTTTTTTATATATTTTTTTCCCACAATAGCTTAGTTAAACCTGACCTACGCCGAAAGCCCACGAATTTGACCTTTCTCTCTCTGTCCCTCGTTTATTGTTGATCAGCGGTAGGAGTGTATGGTATTGAATAAAAAAAATACTGATATTCCGGAGTCATATTAGGACATATAAATAATAACCATATTTGAGAATTAAATTTAAAATATTAATAGATATATCGCGGTGGGGTAGCCAGAGGAGCTACAGCCAACCCCGGAATTTCAGGAAAATTTAAAAATGCTTTCAGTGTTTTGTGAACGCGTATTACGTAAGACGTTTTTAAGTATTAAGATTGTGATTTGTACAAGGGTTGAATGGTTGATGCTAAAGTCACAAAGGTATAAACCACGACATCAGCATAGGTACTAAAACTACGAGGGATCTTAACTATGAACAATCTCTCCTATACACCATGTATACAAAAAATGATTAGCTCCCTCCCGAAAAAATTCTGGCTATGCTACGGGTACACCGTGATGTACGTCTTTTTATTTTGTTACAGTTTTACAAATGCGTACTGCACCCATATTTATCAGTCACCCATAGTGTGTACGTCGATGACGGAGGTGATAATCACGTGCGTCATCGAGATGAACAATATATAAGTCTATCGGAAATATTATTATCACTTAATTATTGTTATATTAATTGTATGGGCAATAATACGGTCATAATAAACGTCGTCGTTATAATTATAAAATAGTAATAATAATAATAACACAAATTATTGCTATAATAATCGTTCTACAACAGTAGTACAATGGTTCTATAAAAGCATAATGCCCTCTACCCCCACCTACTCATCAATATCGTTAATAAAGACTACCGCCGCCGGTGAGGACTGTTGAGATGATATCTATGAAAACTGATCGAACAAATTACCAATATAGTTTGAGATAATAGTATGCCTAATACAGCTGAGTCTCGAATAAATTCGACTTATGATGTGTTTGTCGAGTTAAATACCTTAAGCTGTATAATATTATATATATATATATAATATACGAGTGCACGTAATGCAATGTTATTTGAAAACCGGTACAACTATAATATATAGATCGCGTTGTTTGCAATTTTCTGTATATACCGTCCGGCGTACAATATTATCATAGTAGAAATTGTAAGTTCAATACCTATCTAGAAAAATGCTTAAAAACGGCAATTGTACACATACGGGCAGTGAGGAGCTCAATGCGATAATTTTCATTTAAATATCGTACAGAATTATATCGTGTAAAATTGATAAATAAGTCGTATTACATCGAACCTAGTTCGTCTAGTTTCAAAAACACTCATCTGGGATGAGTAGGTACTGTGTAAGCTGCAGTTACGATTTGGTTTTTAATCTATCTTATTTGATTGGTGCAACTCAGTTTAGTGACAAATTCATTAAGTCCGTAGTGAGTATTAATACCCATTATAAAAATTGTTTTAAATTATTTTCTATATATTATATTATCCGAGACGATGATAGGCGTTATTATCATAATGTTTGCGCATGACCTCGTTCGCCCCGTTCATCATGCGCGCAATCGGCGCAGATTGATGCACCGCAGAGCTATGTAATAGTGATTAAATAATAATATTATTATTGTTATTATTATTATGATAGACCTAGATCTCGATCTCTCGGATCCGGGTCTGTGTTTCTGGACAATACGCACGCCGCGTTATCGGCATTTGTATAATATTGCACTTTGAACGGAAACGGTAAAACAGAAGTGACGGCGGCGAACGCCGAACAGACAATAGAGAAAACGGAACGGAAAACAATAATATCTCGGGACGTGCAGCCGTTATTACAGTATTATAATATTAAATACAACGGTACCTAACAATAACAAAGCTATAGCGCACATTTGTTTTGGTCCAGTCGTGGGGTAAAAGTGCAGTGAACGGAAAATGTCCAATTCGAAACAAATATCCATACATAAGCAGCGTGGAACGAGTCTGAATTAATACAAAAATAATTTTGATAATAACTATAATCTGTCATCGTGCCCTCCCATTCCCCAAATGTCATACTAAACGGATATAACAACGGTGAAATGTTGACGATTTATATCAGACGACAGCATTTTGTTTGTATGTGGGTACGACAGGTACGGCTGTTGTACCAACTACCTAATAATTAAATAGCAGTAATAAGAGCTATACTAGAACTTACACATACCTAGTAATTTAAAAATTGCAAATCTCCAAAATAAAGTCTTGAGATAAGCACTCAAAGCCAAAAATTCATAACAACTGAACATGTGCCATAATTCAATAATATGAGAATTAACCTATACATAAACTTCTACAATTTGATACCTTAAAACAATGACGTACCTGTGAAAGATTTTTTTTGAGGGGAGGGGCATAAATGAATAACACAATTTTTTATGTTAATTATTTACATTTTTCAAGCTCTACACTGAATTTGCATTGTGGCATATAACTTCTCGGGGGAGAAATGTCCCTGTTTCCTCCCCCCCCCACAAGTACGCCACTGCCTAAAAACGACGCAAGGAGCTCCATTACATAAAATCAGCGAGAAAAAGTCTACACCTAAGGGCTAAAAACGCCTAACGCCTATACCACCACGAGACATATTCCTAGAAGACCAACCTCAGAGAATTAATAAGAAGATAATTTTATATGCTTAAACATATTCTGTATTTGTTGTAAAAACTTTATGGCATGTTGAAATGGTGAAAAGATTAAATTTAAAATATTAATAATAATAATGCTATCTCTACAATCCGCATAATATACAGAGACGCGCCCGTCCGCCGGGGTCGTTTTATCTGCGTTTGACAACGGTGGCGCCACACGCTATCAAACTCTCTGAATAGGTTCTGAATATGTACATAGGTACCTACATACGAACACGGAGACGTCACATTTTATTTACACAAAAACTGGCGTGTTTGTACACGTCGGAAATGTCTTTCGGTCACCATTACTAAACACGCGCATGTCCGATATTTAATAACGTATATATATCTAACGCCACGACCCGGCGCAGGGGTAAGATTATAAGATTACTTACATATCATTCCATATACTACACATAACTACATAAGTATATTATGACCTACATCAGGGTTGGGCTCTGCACCGTGGTGATATATAAAGCGAGTTAAAAGAAGATTCAATTTTTTTCATGAGACTCGACCCCGCAGCTTGCCGACGTATCTATAAAAACAAGACGCTTGCTTTCTTTACGAAAAATGTCGACGGCTTTCGGTAGTCTTTCCTTGTAATTAAAAAATCTGAAATCCAATAACGACTATCGCCATCTCTTTGGAACAACTCTTGAACTCGAGAAACTTTTGGAGCATTACACAACGGGGTATGTAACCAATAATAATTAATATATATATGTTTCCAAGATGCGGCAAATACATTTCTTGCTCGTCGCTCTGAATCTAAAAATTAATTAACGGTGCAATAATATAGTTATGTTATGTTTCAACGCGTGTACAGAACAAAGTTGTATTATATTTATATCGGAATCCAATTTTCTACATTATACGTACATAAATGATACATTATCGATTTTTGCTCAAATATGTGCCAGATTAGGTACTCCGTCTGGCCTATAGTCTAGAGATAAGAATGAAGTCTATTTTGAAATAAATATTTGAGTTGGATACAAGGAGGGGCGGCGGAGAAGACTTTGTAAAACAGTGTTAATGATAGTAGAATACAAACATAGATAATATAGAATGGATAGGCCTTCTTGAGCATTCGCGAATGATATGCTACTGGGTAATATTAATTTTAACCATGAACAAAAGAAATTAATTTTTTTACAAAGAATACCTACATTTAAGCTAGGTTCACAACTGTTCCGTCAGTTGTGTTGTGTCCATAAGTTGAGATCTGGCCGACTATGGAAATGTCTCGGTAGATAGATAGTGTTTAGAGACAGATATCACCATGATTGAAACGGCTAATCAGAATAGTATATTAGGCACACGACACCACGACAGACGACGTAGCAGTGAATCTAGCTTTATGGATATTCATTTTTATTGTAAATTTAAATTTAATATAATGTTTAAATCCAAATTATTAGTGTTCAAACCTCAAATGAAAAAATCTTGGTTGCTATTATATATTTGACAGCAATTATCAGTAGATAGTGGTAAATCGGAATAGTAACCTATATTGCAACCTAATACTCAATTATAGAAACGGTGGTATACTGGTATCGATTGAGCTTATATTTCTTAACTTCAAGAGCACTACCCCATGGGTATTTACTATAGTGATGGCCTATATTCATTCTACATTATCAATGTATACAAATGCTAGGTATATACATAAATAAAATAATATTATTACTATCGTCATTGGCATTATATTATATGAACGTGCACCAGGGACTGCTTAAGACTGTACACTAATATTGTGTCTTTAAGCAGAGACGCGACAATGAGGTCGCTTTCGTCTTTTGTCTTTACCTATCGTCCTCGAAAGTGGGACTTTATTTTTATCATCGCCGCCGCCACCGCCTTCCTCGCCGCGGAGATCCGTCGAAGGTGTAGGGTGGTCGTGTGCCGGTTCACTCTTCACCATGACGATTCACTGCTGCAGCAGGTGGGTGACGCGAACGATACACCACCACCAACCACCGCCGCACCAGATCAACGAGCAAACGACAATATTAATTTCATTAATTCTTTTTTACAACTTGGCGTACAATAAGTACACGACACGGGCATGTGCGTGTGTGGTAAATGTATACTATATTGAGCGAGCTGGCCCACGGTAGAACAACACTAGCACGCGACGATAATATAATAATAATAATATATAACTTTATATTTTTATATTGTGATGATTATAATATTATAAATGTTTAAATAGGCGAAACGAATTTCGTGTTTGGTTTTGTAAGAAAGAAAAAAAATACTTGTAAAAGAAAGCACACACGCACGCGCCCGACCTGCGATACAGTTGCATAGATTGCGTGTAAACAGCAGCGGAGAAAAATTAAACGGATATTGAATTTCAGTGGCGCGCCAAATGTGTGTGTCTGTATACGGTATATACCACTCCGATAATATATCTACCAACATACTCGAATTTCTTTGCGTCATTTTTGTTTCCGAGATTCATTTATAAACTTGATTTCTATTTACATATCGATATCATGTGACGCGTGTGCATATATAATGGTAAAAGTATAATACTAATAATATACGTAATACGTATATAGGTACTATAATATAACCTATAATAATATTATATTATGTCATTCTCGTACAGTATATTGCGTTCAAATCATTACAATAATACATCATTGGTAGTGCGATGGAAATAATTAACGTGGGGGGGGGGGGGCGTTGAGAGTCTTCTCTCGCTCGGGGCGAAACGAGTCAAATACAATTAATATATTTTGTAATGATCCTGCCCAGTCATCAGAAATAAACATAATATACTACGGGCCACAGATGGCGTATTTTGCATAATTGTGCAGGGCACATTGTTTCGAACCACTTGTCTCTGATTGGCTCCAATTTCCCACTCGACTCTGATTGGCCCCAATTGCTACTCGGCGTGATTTTCCACGGAAAATTGGAAAATAAAGTACAAACCACCGTTCAACGAACATTATTATAGGTACTCAAATAATTAATCGGTCGGAGATAAGAATTATTATGTTATCATACAAATGAATTTTATCATCAGGTATAATATAATAAAAATAAATTATAATTATTATGATATATACTAATATATATAGCTGCAAAATGCAAACATCGAGCGCAGGTGACTTCATGGGCGGGATAAGTAAAATAAAAAATTGGCCCCATACATCGGAAAAAACGTCTGTAATAAAGTTATTGTCATCAAAATATAAAAGTTTTTATAAAAAAAATATTTACATCATTTTGAAATTGTAGATATTTTTATTTTCCAAAAGACGTTTTTTAAAAATTAAATAAAAAAGTATAAATATTGAGTTTGTTAAGAAAAATAGATCTTTGAGGTGGAATAAATGAACTCTTTTGTTGGAGTCGCAAGGATTGCTGTGACATATTATCCTGCATACCCCGTGCGCCTATAACATAAAGTCGGCCAGAGGAGAGATTAAATATTATTGGTTCTAAAATATTATTATACCCAAAGTACGTCGCTGGGCATAAACAGTTCAGTTCACCCTTTCAGGTCATGCCGTACACAGGGGATAGCGACGGGGTGTGCCTTAAAGACGAAAACACACAGAAATCGATAGTTTTTCGGAATTACAATAATGATAAGGATAGATCACAACAAAGCAATTATGATGAGGCAATGGTGACTGTAGATGAGATTATCCTCGCCAAATATACCAGAGATGGAAAACGTTTTTAAACGAAATCAAATTAAATATTTTGTATAAGTATTATAGTATTAATAATACCTACATAAAATACTATAAAATGTAATATTTTTATTACAAATTAAATTTAAAATTTGAGAATAATAATAGGTACCTAGGTATTATTATTGTTTTTAATTTAAAAGTGTTTATATTATTGTACTATTATGGCAATTAAAAACGGTAAACGTAAATACTATAAGATATATAGGAAGGTATAAAAATAACGGGTTTAAAATATTAAACAAAAACGATATCGTATACAATTATCAACTAAGATGAAAATCCATAAAATTTTCTATCCCTGTTGAAAATATAATGAAATATTATAGCACGATTACGACGCGTAAGGGTAGGTACTGACCGCTGACAGACGTCTCGTCCAGTAAATTCCTCTTTAGTTCGGTCATTTCGGTACCGGTCGGCGATGATTCATATCTCCTGGGCGGCTTTTGAACCGGGTTCACGACGGCCAAAAGGCTTTTTTGCTGTTCAGACGGCTCGGACACTAGTGACGTGACGTGGTTGTGATGGTTGGGCACGTCACCATTGGAAAATCCGTTGGCATGAGATTTTTTCGACAGCACGCCGCTGCCCGATGGTCGGCGCCGGTAACAGCACAAACAGCAAACGATCAACAACAGGATTATGATGAAAATGCCAGCCACCAGGCCAATTATGATGGGCAGCGATTCTTTCACGCTGACCGTACTACCCAAGATGCCCTTGCTACCACTGCCCTGCAAATGATAAGGTTAAAAGGTTATAAAATATGCAGCGTGAAATAATAACAACAGTTACACATTTATATTTTATAATAATATTATCATATGATATTGCGACTAAAAAGTAAGTATTTTACTTTTTCGTAGGGAAACCATCGTAACCAGGAATACTCAAACCCTTTAGATGCCTACATAATATAGTTGTACATGTATTGGAGCGATGTTTAGATACATTATGACCTATAAGATTTTATGAAAGAGAGCGGATACAATGACCGATCTTAGAGGCTACGTAAGGTTGCAGTTTTATTCAGGGAGAAAATTTTCCACAGTTCAAATGTGAGGGATTAAAAAATAATCAAATTATTTATGTTCATGGCCTTCAATTTCCACTACATTTATCATATTTATATTTTTGTATTTTTGTATAATTTGTTTTTCAGGAACGTTTAGTTTAAGCATTTCAATTGTCGTTACAATTTATCTATTCATGAGTATTAAGTACACAATAAAATTGTGACGAAAGTGTAAAAATTAATATTAAGTAATAACGGGGAAAAGTGTTTTATTGGTGATTACCAATGAGTATAATATAGTATCGGTTCATTATAACTTATAAATGAATGATATTAATCTCTTACATTGTCAATCTTATAGTTTTATAGAATAACGTTTATATTACCCTTACAAGGTCACAAGAATAGGTAAGTGAAGTAAAATGACAAAAGAAAATTCGTTGGTTTTTGTGCCAAACTTCTGATGGACTGGATTCGATTAAAAATTGAATTGAACTTTTATGCTTAAATTCGCCTGCTCAAATTGTCTATAGCAGTTTTAGGGTAAAGTATCCATGCATAAAAAGGCCATGATCATAGTTTACCATAATAACGATTCCAGTGGCGGGAGGAGGGATAAGTCTCCCAAAGGTACCTGAACAATGACGGTGATTTTGCGCTCTTCCAAACCGGCAGGGTTCTGTGCGATGCATTTGAATTCGGACTTCCCAATCAACCGGGACCGGGACACGGTCAGGTTGATCCACTTGGCCATGGTGTTGTCCACGCTCTCGTACACAGTGAATTTGTAATCACCGTGTGAATAATTCGATATGGGTCGGTTATTAAACACCCACTGAACGCTGGGCATCGGCTCTCCGTATATCTTGCAACCGATTGTCATCAGCTCGTCGTCGTCCAACTGGAACGTGGAACTCTGGGCGGGATACTGGATGACCGGCTGGCATGCAAAATCGTCTGGTTTGATGTCACCCCACAGCTTGTTTAGCAGTCTTGGTGGTTCGGCGCACGAAGCTGTTTTGATGTAGAGGTTTTTGTTCATAACCTGCAAAAACATAAAATAATCCGTAAAAATAGAACCTTTTGAATTTTAGACAAGATGTAATAACTAAAAGAGTAAAGACTTTCATGGATTTTTGAAAAAAAAAATTAAATCAATGCATTTTTTTAAATTTTATGTTGGTACTTTAAATTATCTCTAATACAAGCAGTAGCGCTTATATAGTGTACAATATTACAAACCAAGTTCATGAATGGTCTAAGCTTGCAGTCGCATCGCCACGGGTTGTTGGTGATCTCCAAGTTCATCAGACTGGGCACGGAATACAGGACTTCGGCCTTAATGTTGGCCAACTTATTGCCGCTCAGCTCCAGGCTATTGAACTTGGTGATGTTGTAGAATGTCTTAGGCTCAATGTCCGTAATAAGGCACGAGTTAAGCTCGACGGTCTGCAGGAACGACATGTTGCTGAACAGTCCGTTCCGCAGTCGCTGTATCTGGTTGTGGTTCAGGTAGATCTTGCGTAACCGGAATGGATCCCGGAACGTGGCCGGGTGCAGCACGTGAATGTTGTTGTCGGATAGGTCCAGCTCGATGAGTATCTCCAGGCCACGGAACGCGTCTTTGTCGACCAGCTCGATGGAACAACTGCGGGCGATCAGCTTGTGCAGGTTGATTAAGCCTACTTCCCGGAACGCGTCCTTATTCATCTCCAGTATTTTGTTGTTGGTCAGATCGAGCACCTGCACCTCGTTGCTCAGGTTTTTGGGTATGCTGGTGAGGCTCGAATTGATGCACTCCGCCATCTTCTGGCCACTGACCCATTTGCACCGACACGTCTGTTGGTTGCACACAGTGACCCAGTCCAATTCGGATGCCGAGTGTGACGTGATGGGCGCCCACAACAGCAGCGCGATCAGTATATACAGACCGATCATTGCTTACGCATAACAGCTGGCACCTGTGTACGACGACGACAACCTGTGCATCGTTGGCAAACCGAGAAAAAAATCAATCGTAGCATTATTATACAATTAATAATGTTCAGGCGATCGTTCCGAACCGTTGGTCGGAAACTCACGCGGACGTGAGAATGTTGGAGTTTGAATAATTGTTTTCAATTATATTATGCGTCTATCCCTAGGTGATTCAAAGTTTAGGGAGAGTGAAAGCAATGAAAGAAAAAATTAGATGTTTTAGTCTACAAGCCACAAGCAATAAGTAATAACAATTAAGTTTCAAGTTAATTTTTTTTAGAATTATCGAGAGTAGATAGTCTAAACACTATAATGAAGATAACGATTACGTATATTTAAAATCCTAGGAATAAGATACAATAATATAATCGTATTTAACGGCATTGACGTAACTAAAGGTACGTGACGACACGTGACACGGGTTCGTCACGTGCGGGTTCCTTTCAATTTCTTAAGCCAATCAACAACATTGAACAATTTCAACATAAATGATACATTATATATATTTAATATATCTATTGGGTGGGCCACTGTGTATATGTACATACATATAAGATATATACTTAAGTACTTAACTACAAATAAATGAGTACGAGGACAAGTCGTCATATTACCAAACATGAATTCAGTTGCTTAGGTAAGTTCATCATTAGCTGTTGCCTGTTTGTATTGTATCAAAAAAATACTAATATACTTTAATTTGTAGTCAGGGAATATTTTAACTCAAAATGGTAATTCTATTCATTTGGTGCGACTTGAATATTTGTGTAAATCAAGTTAATTTTATATTATGATGTATTCTACGAGTTTCAAAAGTGAAGTGAACAGAGTTTGGGACGATTGATTAACGCAAGTTATAACTTAATAAATGTATTTATTGTATTAATTCATTGTCGGAAAATTGAAGAATACAGTTTGGACGATTAGTATTTCCAGTGCGAGGAAATGTTTAAGTATATCTACAAGCGTGGGTATACGTTTTTAGATTTATACGTGTCCCAATGTTTGCATATTATATGCTGAAAATTCCCAACGGATTATAGTGAATATAGTTCATTCGCGATTCAATTCAAATCAAATATCATACAATAATGTATGAAAAACCAAAATTCACACATGTTTATTCGATTTCTAAGTAAATGTGAAGTTTTGAGTAAATAATAATAATTTTGAGCTTTGATAAACAAATCCATGCACCCACGGATTGAAAAAAATGATGTAAATGTAATACGAATAAAACATTTATCACATTCACCGATTATTATTAATGTTTGCGTTTTTATAAAACGAGTATAGGTAATGGTAATTTATTTAAATTGAAATGTGCGATTTTACAAAAACAAAACAAATTGTCGAACAAGAAAAAGGGTAAGTTTGTTTTATACACGAAAAACGAATAGCATAATAATATCAAGTTTCGATTAACACAAAATAATTACAAATCTCATTCATATAGGTACCTTATATATATTAAATAAATTAGTAATTACAACAATGGTACATTCAAATGGAAAACTTGATTTATTATGGCTGGATAAATAAATTGTTAGGTAATTTAATTTTAAATATTGTTTCATCAATAGCCCATTCGTCTGTAAATTGTAATCTAAATTTGTTTGAAGTATTAAGTATTTCATTTGCATACATTATACATATAGAGTTGGCAATAATAATATACAAAATAGCGGCATATAGGGTATGTCGATTTTTAAAATTACGTTCCACATGATGAAATGTTTAATAATAACTCTTGTGAACAAAATTATGACTCATTTTCCTACTGTTTAATTTAATCATTTCAAATTCGTTCAATGAAAATATATATTCTTGATGGCATTGGCATAATTCTGCAATTAGGCAGCCGGAGTAGCGATTGTCGTATAAATAAAAACAGTAATAGTTTATGGTAGCCATTGATTTTATAATATTTGATTGACCATTATGAAATCATTGATGGAAATTAAAAATAAATACTTTTGAAACTGTATGTAAATAATACAAATACAAAAAGGTTTACACGTATTAGGAATGAAATGAGGCCATTAAATTATACTATACACGCGCACTAAATATACGATATGTATAAATATGCAGTCGCCAGTTATAAATATTGTTCATCTGCATAAAAAAATCATGTAGGTACCTTTTTAATATGTACCCTATACCGTTCAATGAATCTTCATTTAAATTGAACATGGTTTTTTTTGTGCGATGTCCATAATAATTATTATTAAATGTTAATTGTGTTTTTATTCTAAAGCTTCGGGGGATCAGACACACGGAGAGGTTCGTATTGTACTAAAATATATGAATCATTTCACATTTGTGGGCTAACGACGTTAAAAGTTTTTTTAAATTTTATTTTATTCTATTTAGTAGTAATTAATAACGCAGAGATTTAAAATGCGATCGAAAAAAAATACACTATAATTATACATTTATACGAGTATATGCGTACGCCCTACATGTTGTAGGTATATATATATATATATATTGAAACAACGGGCACATCAAAATAAGTTCCAAACGAATCCGTTTTTTTGTTTTTATAATTTTTTAAAAATAATTAATGATTCCTGGTACAGGAGATGTATGGGAGGAGGGGGGACTTACACGCTGCGGTATGCTAATTTAATATTTGCGTTCACAGTGAAATTACTAAATTGTCGACGACAAACCGAACAAATGACGCCGAGAAAATGTTTCAGCGGGTGTTAAAAATCTTTTGTAACGTGTAAGATGTAGGTACATAAAATTATTGTTTGATATTTAGATTCCTTATCAGTTATCAGCGTTATGGTTTAAAGATTAAGACATTAAATAGAAATTATATTGATTCTTTTAAAAATGAAAACCGTAATAATATTAAATCAGTTAATGTTAATGTATGGGACCAAATATTTTGTTGATGTTTGATGAAAAATGATCTTGAAATATTTGATACTCAACGTTTAGAAAATATTCCTATTATGTTTGATTTTAAATGTGGGATGGAATATTTTTAAGATAATTTAACAATTTTTCAACCAAATATTTGACAAAAATCCTTCTGATATTGATATTTTCAATTTGCTATGACGTGAGATACTATTAATCATTGTATGCGATAAAAATATATTTTATAAAAATTATTTAGGTACTTGTTAGTAATTTTTAACTCTCACCATTATTTATTTAAGACTAGGTGTGATACATTCATTAACATCAGCGATAAAAATGTAATTTATGGGATAAAATTGCCTGTAGGTAAATTAAGTATAAATTGTACATATATAAGTATATATCAAAAAATAAATCTAACGAAAAACTGCAATGCAAATCTCTGCAGTGACGGGGACTAAGCGTTACACAATTTGTACAGAAAAAATATTTATATAATATTCAATTCTAAAGAGGACATACAGAAACCACACTTATAAAACAATATAATCATGTCGTTGTATTGTAGCATACGATTTGCCATTTACGGCATTATTAAAGACCTCTCAAACTCCATAATAAATTATAATATTGAGTTCCCACAGATATTAATTGGGTGTTTAGAAACGGTAAAAATAGATGCTTGAAAAATCCTTGTGGTTTTGCGCACTTACGTGAACACGTCTCAAAGCTGGCGGCTATGATCCGACGGTCTAATGGCGGCGGAGTCCACTCCTTGCCACCCGATCTCGTAAAGTTCCATACTCCTGAAACACGTAAAAACGAACGATGGCGTCAAAATAACATTTTATTCATTGTATACAACGTATCATATTATATGGAGAAGAAAAAAGTGTATTATCTCCGGTGGAACCAACGGTGATTACGCAATAATATGACAAACAGTGACGCGTCAACTCCGCGGACACATAATAATAATATACAATATACGCACATTAATCGATTATAATTATTGCTACTTGCGTATGAGTATGAAAATGCGGATGTGGCCACTTGAGGGACGAGTACACAGTGTGAAAAAAACATGAAACGTGTGTACGAGGTATACACATAGAGTGAGTGTACAGTGTGCCGAGTGAAGCGACCTGTGAGTAGTGTAGAGTTTGATTAAAAAACATGAAATACATTTTTCAGTATTTCATGTACAGAAATAATGACAACAAAAATTGATTATTCAGATTGTAAAGACGCGCAATCAACTCCTGCGATGGTAGTAAGGGGCGGAGAGGAAATCGCTTTACCGCAAAAGATAATTGTTCTATTTTTTACCATAACGACAGTGACAGGGTTGTTTTGAGAGGGAGGGGATGGAAGCAACCCGGGCGATAAAATTGAAATTATTTAATTACGTAATACGTTTTTTTCTTTCAATTTGCCAGTGTTGTAAAAGCGTACACCTAATTTACAAGGAGTTATATAAATTACTTATTTTGAGAGGCGCAAGGAGGTACTGCAGCGAGTAGACTTCCGAGACTTCTCAGTTCTCGTCGTTCCGGACGAAATCCGAGCGACGGTCGTAAAAGTAAACTCTATTCTTATAATAATATGACGTTCTATACACCCAAGGTTTATAGAAGATATTATTATCATTTATTATAAACCTTGATACACACCGCGTTATTATCGCCATCATATTTTGTACGAACGGCCAATAATAATAAACTACAACCGCAATACAAAACCGGCTCGATAATTTCATGATAATTTTAAACGCTATATAGTTCGTAAATTATTAATAATTGTAATTTGATTTAAAACCCACACAGTGGCCATATTCTGGATGGGACGCGGATATAGCAATATTATACAACGATATTTTGTTGTTTTTTAATGTGGCAGTTTTTCCCGCGGAAATATAGAACGGAGACCTTTTAGCGACAAGTTATCGAGGACCGTGATGGGTGCGTGCTTCAATTAGAGATAAAAGCAACGGTCAAGTCGTTGCAGTGGGCTTCAAGGAAAAAGATCCAGTCCACTAACGTTACAGGGACTCAGTAAAGGAACTATTCGAGGGTAGGGCAACTATTTTGTTTTTCAATAAATATTTAGAGTTAAATTACCATAATTATATTCAAATTATAGAACAATTAGTTACGAATTAATTAGGTACACATGTCTATAAAATTCAACATCAAAATAATTGTAACTAAACATATTTATTTAAATTGAAATATTTCTATTTTTTTTAGATAATTTTGAAAAGCATCTCTTGCTTATTGTTATTGTTTTAAATTATCTGTTACCTGCAGGTAATATTTACAGTCGTAGACGATTAAGTATACAATATACATTTAAAATACATGTGTATAGATTGTCGGTGAGTTGATACACTCACGGCATCACATTGGCATATGTCATTCCCGTAGGAATTATTAGAACGAATAATAATTTTCAGTTCTGTTTTTGGAATAGTTGAAAAAAAAAATTGTGTGGAACTGGGGACCCCAAATGTTCAAAACATGAGTCATACATATCAGTAATACATGATTATTAATAAAACATTACCTATTCAGTGTTGTACGCGTCGTCTACGACCGAGACGGACTTATTTCGAATTCCGCTTGTAAGCGCACGCACGTACGAGCTTCCAAAATTCGGCGGACCGCAACGTACGAAACAACGCGTTAATAACGACAGCAGTAATATTATTATAATATATTAAAATAATTTATACAATAGACACGACCGACCGGCGCGCGCGCACAAACGTTGAGGAAATAACGGCTAACGAGCGAGCGAGTGTGCAGTGATCATCGCAGCGGCGGTCGCCGCACGTTTTCGTCGTTACTCCGTCGGCGGACGCGCACTGACTGAACCTGTTTTGCGCGGTACACGGCGGCGGCAGTCGGCGGCGGTACCTGCACGCCGCGCGCGTGTAGTAGAATGCACATCTCGAGTTTGTGCATTATTGTGATATTATACACAAGCGCAAAATATAACGATATTGCCATGTTTTCGAGGCCGCGAGAATTTCAGCGGGCAGACGACCACACGACAAGATGATGCGAGATCAAATGGCTTAGGAATAGTGTTAAATAATCAATAATATTATTAAAATAGAACAAAAAAGTACCTAATATGTAATTAAAAAAAAAATTAATGAAAACAACTAATGGAGTACGCAAACATAGTTCTAATAAACAAACCTTAAACTTTTCCACCAGGGAATCTATTTAAAGGCTATGATGTTTTTCATACCATACATACTTTTTTTATCGAAATGTCCTACATTATACGTCTTCATAATGATAAAATAAGTTAAATTTTATTAAATTCAAGCCAAGCACCTACACTAACGCAAAATAGTTTAACTATCCCTTCAATTACAAACAAGCTGATACTTTTGCAAAATAAGTTTAGATCTCTTAGAAGACGTTCCAATTGAAATTAAAAATTGTAATTTTTTCTTATCTATATCTCTGTATCCCTATATAAATGTATATAAAAAAAACCAAAATTATTACGTCGACGTAGTAAGTAAGTACCAGTAAATTGGACAAGGTTATGGGCACATAGGCACAGTTTGTGGGCGTATACTGTGCGCCTGTGTGACTCTATGTCGAACGGCCGTCCGTAACCGAGAAGTCTCAACTTTTTATATTGTTATTATCTCGTCTCGCACTAGCCGTCAACGCACTATACATAATATAATATCTAATATTATAGTAATATATTATATTATAGTTAATATACTGTTATTAGTATTTTTTATTTTAACAAAATAACTACTGTTGGATATTTCTGTTCTTTTATTGAACCCCGGCTATGAAGAGTGACATTATCCGAGCAATAAACTTTCTTCTTTCAAGTAAGTTTATGAAGTACTAAGCTAGAGTAATTGTTAAGTAAATGATTATAACTTTTCATTTAACTTTAACAAGTTAGACTCACTTGTGTAACGCGCTCAGATATTATTAAATATTAACGATGCAAAATATTTTGTTTACGACAGAGTCCTTTTTATAGTGGTTCCTTGTTATTTTTCTCTGCTAAAACCGAACGCATGTCGGGGAAATTAGTTTTTTATTAGGTAACTTACTTTCTGGACGATAGGATCCTAGTTATACTTAAACTAATACAAAAGTTATCTAAATGTTTTTTAAATCTGATATATTTGTTAACAATAATAAAAACTTTTCTTATATATTAACATGTACCTATTTGTGTACAATAATATAGTATTATTATGGAAAAATATATAAAATTATAATAGTAGACTGCAACGTGCCAACGTGATTAAAAATATATATTACAATATTCTTTATACAGCCAACGTTCACGTTTTTTTTATAACCCACTGGGACTCCCTAGAATTATAGATTTTATACTTGGCTCTATAACAAGGAGGAAAAACCGATTATCTTTTGGAAGCATATTAAATGACCTCGAAAGAATTCCGGATTCCCAGGCCTGAATTGAATTCCCATTCTACCCACAACAGCCGCCGCCCTTGTATACATATTTAATCCGTTTGTTTTTCCTCAACGGCAACCCGTACCCCACACCACAATACAATGTATATGTAGCCGATAAGTTATGTATCACGGGTAGCACACTGCACATCGATACGCCCAGAATTTTTTCTCGTGTAAGTCAATAATAGTTGCAAGTGAATGAATAATTATGCATACAATTATAATATATACATTTAAGTCTATACCGTGTACTAGCAGTATAAAACAATGATAACACAACAAAAATCCCTTTCAATTAGCCGAGTGGTGATATCAAAATAAAAATTGGTTTTGTAACGAGATAATAATTGAAACTTGACTAGAAAGACTGGCATTCAAAAATGCGATCCCAAGTACCGTAAATATTATGCAGCGACCTCGAAGTATTATTATGCGTTGAATACACAGTTTGTCCATGAAAACAGAGTACATAGAAAAAGTGAAATTGTTGTGGTTGCGCAAAATAAAAGAGTCGAGACATTTTTAAGTCCTAAGAATGCATGGTACAATGGTCGAGTCTCATGTCCAGCAAACAGAATTCAAAAATATGTTTAGGCCGTTTAGGGTACTGAGTAATACAAGTAACTGTGCTATACAATGTATACTCCGTTTTTGTGGGCACGCGGTACACGATTAAACACAAAACTTTGTGGTCGTCGAAACACAGGTCGTGTCCCTGTCACTGTATATACGAGGAGGAAACGTCCATTATAATAATATAGCGCCACGTTCGGACAGATACGAAAACCAAACAGTCACAACGTGTTAATTAAATTCGACGTGTTCGACCGCGTACGCGGAAATTGGCTAATTAATGTTCGGCCGAGACTTATATTAATTGGACGCCACACGTAAAGCGAAACGTATATAATACGAGATTTTAAGTTTTTATTTGACGCTATAATAAAGCAAGTTTGACGAAAGTCCCCGAGGACGTTTCTAAATCGTAGTTCTGACTTTTTGATCGGCTGTTGTCGTTCGGTAAGAGGTCCGTGATTTATTTTATTATGGCATTAAAATTTTTTTATACCCACCATGCAAAAACGTATTTTTTAAGTTTATTTTCAAAACGATTAAATAACTATTCTTAGAAAACGGTAATATCGATGAATATATTAAAATTTTATGTTTCTAACGGAAACAAATCTTATTAGTTATTACGTCATACTATTTGTTTATTAAATAATAAAATAATTTATAAACGGCGAAAAGTCAACGGATACTATATATATATAATGTGGTAAATCTAAAGTGTAGTGCTATCAGTAATATTTACACTAAGGCTTAATCAA